GGTCAGACGCCGCTGTGCGGATTGCGTGCGGGCGGGCCCCCGGGAGCCTGAGCATGGCTCGCTCAGGGAGCGTGTCACTTCCTCCGGGGCCTGTCGGAGGAAGGCTGCTGGGGATGGGGGTGTGCACAGGACGGGCATCGGGCACCCCGGGTCCCGGTGGGCACTGGCCTTTCGGGGGAAGTCGGCTTCCCCGGAGCCACGGCGGGAACAGGTGGCATCGAGCTTCCCTCGGCCCAGGGGCCAGGGGACCAGCCGATGCTGTGCCGGTGCCACTGGCCCATGGGACCGGCCCCAGGTCCTGGGCGAGGCTGCGTAGGCCTGGGGCTCCAGCCGCCCCGCTCCCCACCCCTAGGGGTCAGTGGTGAGCCGGCAGGACGCCCGCTGGTTGGAGGGAATGCCAGGCAGCAGCTGAACAGGACACGGCTGGCTGGACAGGCCAAAGCCGCCAGCTGGTGCCCGCCTTCCCCGGTGAGGGGTCACGGTGCTCAAGGGAGGGGCGGGTGCGAGCAGGGCGGTGAGCGGAGAAATGGCATCGAGGTGAACCACACAGACCCTGCACAACGCGGAGCCCGAGATAACCGCCCGGCAACGAGATCCCCGGCCAATGGGAATGGTCCCAGCGCCCTCCTGCGGGTCGTCAGGTGGGAGTTGGTGTGTGGATCCGTGTGGATCCGTGTTATCCATGACATATGAACGGCACAGAAGCGGGACTGGGGAAAATGCAACCAGGGAGCTGGCGGAAGTCCATGTAAATAGCCACCTGGGCCCGGCCGCTTGGCTCAGCGCTGGGCGTGGACCCCAAACCAGGAGGTCGGCCCAGGCCCAGCTGTGGGCTCGGTCCCCAGTGGGGGGCGCGCAGGAGGCAGGTAATGATTCTCTCTCATCCCTGGTGTTTCCCTCCCTCTCTCCCTCCCTCTCCCTTCTCTGAAATCAATAAAAATATTTAAAAACGAAAACGGCCGAGGGCCAGGGAGGAGGGAGAACAGAGCCAACAGGCGGAGCTCCTGCCCTGGCCTCAGTCTGGGGTGCGTGTGGGGGCGCGGGGGGCGGGAGACAGGGAGAGGGCGCCCTTGGTGCCTGCGTCTTTGCCACGGTCTCTGGGGCTCGCAGTCAGCATGCCGTCTGGGCTCCGGGTGGCTCTCCTGCCCGGGGCCCGAAGGGCACCCACCACCTGCATGCCAGCAGCTCTCCAAAGCGGCTGGCCAGGCTATCCAGCATGCACTGGGGGTCCTGGATGGCCCCTCACCCACCCTCATCTACTGGGTGTCAGTCTTTGCTGGAGACCCTCCTGTGTCTGGGTGCTGTCCCACGGGGCCCTGGGTGCTGTCCTTGGGGCCCTGGGTGCTGTCCTGCGAGGCCTGGGTGCTGTCCTTGGGGCCCTGGGTGCTGTCCTTGGGGCCTGGGTGCTGTCCTTGGGGCTCTGGGTGTGGGGAGAGGGACCAGCCCGGACCACCTGGGCCTCTCTCTCTGAAGGAAGCCCCGCCCCCTCTGGAGGGTGAGCTGAATGAAGCTGGGCTGAGGGTCAGCTCACACCTGAGACCCCGGCTGGCACCTGGGCAGAGGTTCCTGCCTGAGGCTTCCTCCTACTTAAAGCAAAACCCGGCTCACCCTCCATCCACTCCTCTCCTGGCCTGCCTGCTCCGGGCGGCTGCTGGTCTGACCTGGGCGTTGGGCAGACGGTGGCTCTGTCCGGTTTCCCAGGCCAAGGCCCTGAGTCCCTGTGGGCCTGGGGGGAGGAGGTGGGGGCTGAGTCCCTGTGGGCCTGGGGGGGGGGGGGGGAGGGGGCTGAGTCCCTGTGGGCCTGGGGGGGAGGGGGGAGGGGGCTGAGTCCCTGTGGGCCTGGGGGGGAGGGGGGCGGAGTCCCTGTGGGGCTGGGGGGGGGGGGGGGGGGGCGGAGTCCCTGTGGGCCTGGGGGGGAGGGGGGAGGGGCGGAGTCCCTGTGGGGCTGGGGGGGAGGGGCGGAGTCCCTGTGGGCCTGGGGGGGAGGGGCTGAGTCCCTGTGGGCCTGGGGGGGAGGGGGGCGGAGTCCCTGTGGGCCTGGGGGGGAGGGGGGCGGAGTCCCTGTGGGGCTGGGGGGGAGCAGGGGAGGGAGGGCCGTGTCTCTGCCTCCAGGAGCCCTGCTCCTCCCCCAGTTCGACGCCTCCGGGGCTGGAAGTTTGGCTGCTCTGTGTCTCCTGTTCTCAATCTCATGTTCTCGGGTGCGTTGGCACAGAGCGGCCCAGGGGAATGTGTGTCCCGGGCAGGACACATGGCCGCCGGCCCGCACGCCGTGGTCTGGCCGGCTCCCCGGCTCTGGATCCGAGCCGTGCGAAGGGGGGGATGTGGTGCCCCCGGGTGGCTGGGGGGGGGGCTGGGAACAGGCTTCAGGGAGCCGCTGAGGACACAGACCCCCCCACACACCCCCCAGCTACCCTCCCCCCCGGGCCACGGCCTGCGGGCTCTGGGCCTGAGCCCTGGGACGCAGCTCCAGACCCCCCCCCCCTCCCTCCCGGCTGCGGCTCCGGAGGGCAGTGTGCTCAGTGGGCGGCTTGTTGTCAGAATTCAGTGCTCTGACGCGGAGCCAAGCTGGGCGGGTGCCCAGCGGGAGCAGAGCTCACAGGAGGGGGGCGGGGGGGGGGGGCTGCAGCCCTGGGTGGGATGAGTGTGGGTCCCCTAGGGCAGGGGTCCCGTTGCCCTCCTTGGGGCAACTCCAGCGCAGGGAGGGGGCAGGGCCAGGAGGACCCCTAACTGCCCCCCCCCCCCCCCCCCCCCCCCCGTCTGGCGGCCCCGCACCCCCGCACCAATTACCGGCTCTTAGTCACCATTTCCTCTCCCGCTTCCTCTCAGCACAACAGCCTCCATGACGCCCAGCTGCCCCGTTCCGCTCCCTCCAGCCCACGGCTGACGGAGGATGGCAGGGGCCCAGGAGGGATGGGGACCCCGAGTCCCTGCTCCCCACAGGCAGAGGGGCGGGGGGCCCGGGAGGGATGGGGGGGCCTGGGAGGGACGGGGACCCCGAGTTCCTGCTCCCCCAAAGGCAGAGGGGCGAGGGGCTTGGGAGGGACGGGGACCCCGAGTCCCTGCTCCCCACAGGCAGAGGGGCGGGGGCCTGGGAGGGACGGGGACCCCGAGTCCCTGCTCCCCACAGGCAGAGGGGTGGGGGCCCAGGAGGGACGGGGGGGCCTGGGAGGGACGGGGACCCCGAGTCCCTGCTCCTCACAGGCAGAGGGCACCATCCCGGCCAGAGGCAGAGCTGGTCACAGTCTTCCTGCTGACCAGGCGGGAAGCTGGCTTTGAAAGGATCTTTATTGACCAAGCAGGCGTTTTCCATCCCCCCCATCACACAAGACCCTGGGAGGAGGCCCATCAATCGCCTGCTGCTGTGCAAAACCTCACACCAGCCGGGCTGTGTGGCTCAGTGATCGACGTCGACCTATGAACCGGGAGGTCAGGGTTCGATTCCCGGTCAGGGCCCAGGCCCGGGTTGTGGGCTCCATCCTCAGTGTGGGGCGTGCAGGAGGCCGCCAGTCCATGTTTTCTCTCATCGTTGATGTCTCTCTCTCTCTCTCTCTCTCTCTCTCTCTCTCTCTCCCCCTCCCGCCCCCCCCTTCCTCTCTGAAATCAATAAAAACATATTTTTAAAAACGTGGTGGCATCAAGCCCCACAAGCACGGCGGCCTCGGAGCACAGGAGGGACCGCTGGGTGGCCCCGGCTCAGGGTCTCCCCGAGGTTTCGGGGGGGGGGGGACGGGGAAGGGGTCGGCAGCAGCTGGAGAGGGTGCTGCTGTCCGTGGGGCCTCAGTTCCCGCTCCCCGGCTGCCCGGCCCTCCTGGCGGCTCGGCCGGGGTCCCAGAGCCGGTGCCTCAGTGGGCGGGAGCAGGGCCTTTCGGGACCGAGCCTCGGGGCCCACAGGCCCCACGTGGGCCTGGATTCAGGAGAAGCACATTCACCCCACCTCTGTGAGATGAGAGGGAGCTCACGGCTCCCTCAACAGGAGAGTTGCAGCATCGTGTGCATTTACTGACACACACCATCACCCCCACCCTGTCCACCGCATCCCGGCTGCCGAGACTCCCCCCCCCCCCCCCCCCACACACACACACACAGGAGGGGCGGGGCAGGGAGAACCTGCGTCTTCGGGCCCTTGGTCCAGGACAGGGAATCTTCTAGACTGAGGCTCCCTGGGTCCCTCCTGAACCCTACCAAGGGCCCTCCTAGGAATGCAAGGGTGTCAGGGCTGCACCCGGGGCGGGTGGGAGGTGCAACGGCTGCCCAACCTTTGAGTGGCCCCCCTGGTGGGGAGGGGCTGCCAGGCAGGGCCTCCATGCACTTGGCTCTTTGGGACCTACTGCGCGCTGCAGGCTCTGCTCTGGACGGGGAAAGGGGGTGGGGGGCACGACTCTGCAGGCCAGAGCCTCCCAGCCCCATGGGTGAGGATTCCAATCAAGATTTCCCCTGAAGTATCTTGTCTGAGAGAAACAAACCTGACCTTGAGCCCAGCTCCACTATCCACCCACCATCCACACATCTGTCTATCCATCATCCATCCATCCATCATCCACCCACCCACCCAACCATCCATCATCCACCATCCAACCATCAATCCATCCATCCTTCCATCCATCAGCCATCCATCCATTCATCCCCTACTCTTCTCTCTCTCTCACTCCATCTGTCCATCCACCCACCATCCATCCATCATCCCTCACCCCTGCATCCATTCATCCTCCGACCTCTCTCTCCCTCACTCCATCCATCCATCTATCCATCCATCTTCTCTGGGAGCCTATTTTTAGCTCCTGATTCATCGCCTGTTCAGCAGGGATAATGGGCATTGCCATGGTAACCTGGCTACGCTGGATTTCGGAAGGGCGACGCTGGTCTGTTTGGCAGTGGAGAGGACAACAGAGAGGCCGCTTCCCCTTGCACATGGGGGAGGCGCAGGGCGGGGTGGTTGTGGGTCTCAGGGTGGGAGGGCAGGTATCAGCCTGGCCTGGCCCGGACGCTGAGGCCTGCACCACAGGACGCCTCCTCTGCTTGCACTTGGCGTTCACGCACTCCCACCGGGCCTGGCCGGCGGGCAGACAGGCAGAGTCTCCCCCGCGGGCCAGAGCCAACACCCCCTGCCCCCAGGGGCTGGGGCCCGGGTCCCCGCTGCCCCTTTCCCTGGGCCGAGGGTGCAGTGGGCCCTGGGGGTCGTGCCCGCTGCCCCCGTGGCTGCGGCTCCCGCGGCCCCTCCCTGGGGCGGGGCAGGACCGGCCTCCGGAGCCCCGCTCACCTGGCCCTGGGCGAAGGCCCTCTGCATCTCGGCGAAGGTGGTGGTGAACTCCCCGATGAAGTCGTGCTTCCCGCCGGAGTCGTGGTCCCAGACCAGGCCCCGCGGACCCGGCCTCAGCGCCTGCCCCGGGACCCCGCGGGGCTCCCCGCCCCCGCCCGCCCCCTGCCCGGGGGCTCCCCCACCCCGCAGGGCTCCCCGCCCCCGCCCGCCCCCTGCCGCCTGCCCGGGGGCTCCCCCACCCCGCCGGGCTCCCCGCCCCTGCCCGCCCCCTGCCCGCCCCCTGCCCGGGGGCTCCCCCACCCCGCGGGGCTCCCCGCCCCCGCCCGCCCCCTGCCCGGGGGCTCCCCCACCCCGCGGGGCTCCCCGCCCCCGCCCGCCCCCTGCCGCCTGCCCGGGGGCTCCCCCACCCCGCCCCCTGCCCGGGGGCTCCCCCACCCCGCAGGGCTCCCCGCCCCTGCCCGGCCCCTGCCCGCCCCCTGCCCGCCCTCTGCCCGCCTGCCCGGGGGCTCCCCCACCCCGCAGGGCTCCCCCACCCCGCGGGGCTCCCCGCCCCCGCCCGCCCCCTGCCGCCTGCCCGGGGGCTCCCCCACCCCGCAGGGCTCCCCCACCCCGCGGGGCTCCCCGCCCCCGCCCGCCCCCTGCCCGGGGGCTCCCCCACCCCGCAGGGCTGCCCGCCCCCCCCCCCCCGCCCCCTGCCTGCTCCCCGCCCACTGCCCCAGGACCCCCCCCCCCGCGCCCACCCCTCCTTGCCCGCCTACCCTGGGGCCCTGCCTGGCTCCCGCCTGGCTCCTCCCCCCTCCCCCCCCGCCCGCCTGCCCGGACCCCCGCTGGCTCCCCCTGCCGGCCGCACCTTCAGGGGCCTGGTCTCCTCGCAGCGGCACAGCGAGCTGAGCGACACCTGGAACGGCTGCCACACGGGGCTCAGGTTGTTCTTCACCACCTGGGGCCGCAGGGGGGCCGCCTCAGGCCCAGAGCTCAGTCTGGGGACCCCTCCCGCCGGAAACACCCTCGTAACTTCATCCTGAAAGCTGGCGCCATCCCGGCCGGTGGCTCAGGGGTGAGCGCCGACCTATAGACCAGGCGGTCAGGGTTCGATTCCCTGTCGGCACCACGGCTGCGGGGGGGCGTGCAGGAGGCAGCTAGTCCATGACTCTCTCATCACAGGTGTCTCTCTCTCTCTCCCTCTCCCTTCCTCTCTGACATCAATAATTTATTTTTTTTAACTTTTTAATTTTTAAAATACATTTTATTGATTTTTTACAGAGAGGAAGAGAGAGGGATAGAGTTAGAAACATCGATGAGAGAGAATCATTGATCAGCTGCCTCCTGCACGCCCCCCACTGGGGATGTGCCCACAACCAAGGTACATGCCCTTGACTGGAATCGAACCCGGGACCCTTCAGTCCGCAGGCCGTCACTCTAACCATGGAGCCACACCGGTTTCGGCTGACATCAGTAATTTAAAAAAGCCGAAATGAATTTATCGGGAAAGAAAAGGCAGCTCACCTGCCGGGCCTGACAACAGAACACCCCCGAGTTCTCCCTCGTGGCTCCGCGCCCCCCGCCAGCCCCTGGTTCACGGGGCGAGGGTGTCAGGGTCCCGAGGCCGCAGGGAGGGAGGGCCGGCCGGCCTCTCGAACCCGCGCCTGCGGGCAGCGGGCCCTCACCTCCGTGCGGTACACCAGCTGCTCGCTCCGGTCCTCGTTGACCCGGTACAGCTCCAGGAAGGGGTCGGACTTGCTGAAGACGTCCTGGGGGGCAGGCAGCGGGGGTGGGTGCAGCCCAGGAGGCCCCACCGTCTTCGCGCTGCCACCCCCAGACCCCTGTCTCAGGCCCCGGCCTCGCCTGCCCCCAGAGCAGTGGGTCCCAGCCTCCTCAGCATCTCTCACCTCCTGCTCCTCCCCGCCCCCGACATGGAGTCCCAGCAGCCCAGCCCCGGCGGCGCCCGCACCTTGTTGTCCAGCTGCTGGCCCCGGAAGGAGAGCTCCACGTACCCGTTGTTGGTGGAAATGTCCTCGGCCGTCACCTGCCGGGGAGGCCACAGCTGTGCGCTCGCAGGCGGGGTCGTCCCCCCTTCCGGCCGACTGCCCGCTGGGAGGGCCCCCGTCAGCACAGCAGCCCTGGCCTCCTCTCCTCTCCCCATCGTCCCCGCAGGGCCAGGGCGAGGGGCGAGGGCAGGGCCAGGGCGAGGGGCAGGGCGAGGGGCGAGGGCAGGGCCAGGGCGAGGGGCAGGGCAGGGCCAGGGCAGGGCCAGGGCAAGGGCCAGGGCGAGGGGCGAGGGGCGAGGGCAGGGCCAGGGCCAGGGCAGGGCCAGGGTGAGGGGCAGGGCGAGGGCGGGGCCAGGGCCAGGGCCAGGGCGAGGGGCAGGGCGAGGGGTGAGGGCAGGGCCAGGGCGAGGGGCAGGGCAGGGCCAGGGCAGGGCCAGGGCGAGGGGCGAGGGAGGGTGGGCCCAGGTCTGAGGGCGGGGGGGGGCAGGGGGGCTAGAGGGGGGCGCCCTCACCGTCATGGTGGACTTGCCCGCGTGCCTGCCGACCTTCAGCATCAGCGGTCGGGTCACCTTCTTCTGGGCCACAATCTGGGGGTCAGGAAGGTCAGGGCGGGGTTGGCCGCTGCCGCCCGGGAGACCCCCTCACCCCGCCTCCCCACCCCCTCACTCCTCGGCCCTCTCCAGAGACCCTCGCCGCCTGATGCCTCTCTGTCCCTCTGGCCGCCACCTGCTCTGCCCCACACCCCCATTCCCCTCCTCATGCTCCCCCCCCCCATCGCCCACGTAACAGAGCAGAAAACTGAGGCTCAGAGAGACTGTCCGGCCACGTGTGGGTGGGCCCACGTGCCTGGCTCCACGGCCCAGGCTGGCGGGAGGGGGTGGTGCAGGGGCAGGAGCCAGACGGGAGCTGCAGCCAGCTCTCCACCCTCCTGCCCATCAGTCCGTCCGTCCATCTGTGCAGGAGATTCCTTCCTGGGGTCTCACTCCCCCCCCCCCCCCCCGCTGCCTCCCCCACCAGGTGTGAGCCCTGCCTGGGCCGGCGAGGCGGCCCAGAGATGCCACGTGCAGCCAGGCCACTTGCTCGCCGGGCAGCCTCAGGGGCTGCGTGTCCTCAGCAGATAAATGGTGATTCCCCCCTCCCCACCGCTGCCGGAGGATCAGTGATTTCCTGGGTGGGAGGACCCCACCGTCACTGGCCAAAGGCCCAGGGTGTCCTCAGCTGTCGCCGCGGTGAGGGTGCTCTGACCCTCCCAGCGCTCGCCTGACACCCACCCCCCCCCTGGCCGGGGCTCCTGACTGGCCCAAGCTGAGTCCAGACGAGGGACGGGATCTGCCCATCTGCCCATCGGGGTGCCTCTGGCAGCTGCCAGCCCTCGGGAACGTTCTGTGCGGAGAGAAGCCGGCCAGGGGAGGGAGGGCTCTCGGCGGGGTGTGGGGTGCAGGGTGCGGGGTGCCCCCAGGCTCTCCCACGTGGCTTCCCTTCCGGGGGCTCCGACCAGGGACCACGGGGGGCCGGCAGGCAGCTGCGGCCGTGGCGCTGCCTGCGTGGGCCTGGGCTGGGCCTGCCGAGCAGTTAAAATGGACGCTTCCCTCGCCGGGGGGCCTTCACTCTGAGCGCCTGGGTTCCCGGGAGGGGGCTGGGGCAGAGGTCAGGGGCTCCCTCAGGCAGGGCGCTGGGGCTTGGACCATCCTCTCCCCGCTGCCCCCTCCACCACTGACTGTCACGCCCCGAAGGCAGGGCGGTCCGAGGGGGTCGGCCGGGGAGGACACCGGGCAGGAGGCTCTCCATGGGCGTGTTTGCTGTCTGAAGTTTATGTGAACACCCAGACACGTGTGTCCATGGATCTGCACCCGTGCGTGAGCATGTATGTGTGCATACACGCACATAGCCAGGTGTCTGTACATGTGTGTGCACGCATATAAAACATCCACGTATGTGCACACACATGCAAGCATTCTGCAGCACGCCCGAGCACATGTTTATACACACATGCTCATGTGTGTGCATGCACACACGTGTGTGTTCTGCCCTCCTCCATGCTAAGGATGGCAGGTGGGAGGCACGCCGCCCTGATGCCTTTTCCCGGGGCCGTGTCCCTCCTGACTCTCAGTCCTCTCAGTGTGAAAGGGTGACAGGCTATCCTACACCAGCTCAGCCCAGGCAGCGAGGGGGTGAGTCACTCAGACGTCACGCGTGTGAAAGGCGCAGGGCACACAGGAGGACACCCCGTGTGAACTATGGACACGAGGCTCTGGAGCAGCTGCAGGGGGGGGGGACCTGCGTGACCTGGGGACGCTCAGGCGTCCACGCCGTCCGAACTCCGTCTCCACCTCACGGTCGACCTGCCCCCTGCACGCCACTCCCGCCTCCGTTCACACACGGTGCCGTGTGGAAAGGGCCCTCGTGCTTAGAGGTGGAAAGAGCAGCGGCAGAGCCAGGCAATCTGCGTTAAAACGGCAGAGAAACCACAGGCTTCTCTCCTCCTGTGCGAGTCCTCTCTGGTTGGACGTCAGAACCGGGGGCAGGGCAGGAGGGGGCTGGCCAGCAGCCTTCTAGGCACCGAGTCTGAGCCGCACGGAGGCACTGCCGGTGTAAGCGGCAGGTTTTTTAGCAGTGACTCCTGAGGAGCCGGTGGAGAGGAGCGTGGAGACAGCAGAGCCTGGATGCTCGTCCGAGGGAGCCGGCCGTGCCCACGCCCCCGCATCCCCGGGCGTCGCACCGGCTTGGGGCCTGCCCGGTGCTGCCCTGCTCCTCCCTGTCCCCCCCCCCCCCGCCCGGTCCCTCCTGCCTCATCCTCGGTCCCTCCGGCCTCGCCCGCCCGCCCGCCCGCCTCGGCCGGCCCACCTGCCCCAGGGTGCACTCCATGCCGCCCAGGAAGTCCTCCTCGGGGCAGCCGAGGCCGGGCCCGTGGCTGTCGAAGACCTCGAACCGCAGCCTCTGCGCCTCCTCGAAGCAGTAGTCGAGCGTGAAGACCTTGGAGAAGACGGGGTGCAGGCAGCTGCCCACCACCTCCGTCCGGTCCACCTGCGAGCGGGAGCGGGCGGGCTGCCACCAGCAACCCCACCCGCCCTGAGCCACCCAGCCCACCCCGGCCCGCAGGCGCCCTCTCCTGGGAGACCCCCCCAGCCCTCTGCCCCCCAGCACCCCTGTGAGGTGAGATGGGGGAGAAAGTGCGTTGTACAGAGGGGAGCGCCCAGGGCTGCGACCTGCCCAAAGGGTGCTGGGCGGGGGACCACCCTCAGGAGGGGACACCCCCAGGAGGGGACCCCTCAGGAGGGGACCCCTCAGGCCTGGGGAGTGTCAAGGGGAGAACCCGGGTCGCGGAGACGAAAACGCCGCCCAAGTCCGGTCCTCGGAGTGCAGGAGGGTCCCTCATCCCAGCCGGAGCCCCAGGCTGCCCGGCGGGTCTCCCAGAGCCGCTCCAGGAGTGAGGCGAGGGGCTGGGGCATCTCTCCAGGGGCATCCGGGTCTCGGGATCTAGTCCCGGCCGGATCCCCGCCCCCTCCCTGCTCTGGGCCCACAGGGCACCTCTGTCCAGGGAGAGGACCCGGCACCAAGCAGGGCTCCAGGCGCAGGGCACCTGCCGCCCCAGCCCCTGCGCCCTTCCCCTCCGTCCCGCAGCCCAGCCTCCCGCCGCCTCCCCAAGACCCGGGACCCCACTTAGCGCCCCTCCGTCCCAGGAGCTCCGCTCGCCCGGTGCCCTGGTAACCCCGACCCCGTGCACCCACCTCCCGGACGCCCGCCCTGCGCGCGCGCCCCACCTGCACCCACTGGCCCTGCGCCCGCAGCAGCAGCACGGTGCACCCACCTCCCGGACCCCAGTCCTGCGCGCGCGCCCCCACCTGCACCCACTGGCCCTGCGCCCGCAGCAGCAGCACGGCGCGGGGGTCGGACTTGGTGAGCGGGTCGCGGTCCAGCAGGTGCCGGCAGCTCCGCCGCAGCTCCACCTTCGAGGCGCCGGGCGCCGGCACCGCCCGGGGGACCCCCGCGGCCCCGCACCCCCCGCCCACGCTCATCTCCGGCCCCGGGCTGCTGGGCTGCCGATGCTCTAGGCACGTCCCTGCCTGGCGCGCGGCTCCGCAACTGGGACTGAGGCGGGAGGGCGGCGGGACCAGGCGGGCCTGGGGGCGGGGTCTGGGCGGGGTGTGCTGGGCGGATTGGGGGGCGAACAGGAGGGGCCAGAGCAGCTGGAAAAGGAGAGGGAGCCCTCAGGCTGGACTGGGACCCGCCCAGGAAATGGGGGGAGGGGGCTGGATGGCAGCCCCTCTTGGTCCTGGGGGTGCCAGGCTGAGGCCAGAGTCTGACCAGGTGCCCCTCTCTGCCCCACCTTCACCCCCACCACCCTTCCTGACGGGAGGGGCTGTGGGCAGAGGCCAAACCACCTCCCGCACACCCTCTGCCAGTTTGTGCCCGCTGTGCGAGCGGGGTCCCGGCTCCAGACCCGCTTCCTGAGCCTCTGGCCACTGAGGTGAGGGGCAGGCCACACACACAGGGATGTGGGCCAGTCCGGTACCCCTTCTGCTCCCCCCTCTGTGCCCACCCCTCTTGGGAGCCGGTCCAGGCTCAGACGGCTTTGGAAATCAGCTGGCACCCATGCGTCCTTCCCAGCCCAGCTTCCCTGGATGGAGGCGGTGGGAGGGGCCTCCGGGTCCTGAGTCCACCCGCTGAGCACGTGGGCTGTGGGGGTGCCTCTGGGGCTGGTAGGGGCTCCGGCTCTCCCAGAGCCAGCTTTCCCAGGACCCCGGCCCGGCCTGCGTGCTGAGCGGCTGTGAGGATGAGGATGGGGGCCCCGGTGAGTGGCGTGCTCTGGCGGGCACCCAGCCCCACAAAGGCACGTGCGGTGGCTCCTGCCAAGGCTCAGGGTCTCCCCCACCCCCGTGCAGGCTCCTCCCGCCAGGCCTTGGGGAGCTATCGCGAGGACGGGCCCCCAAGCCTAACTTCAGCACCAAGGACAGCGCCAGCACCACGGGCTCTCCCGTGCTTTGCTGTGCAGACTGCCATTGCGTTAAGCCTCACAGCCATTCCTCAGAAGAGGAAAGCGGGGTTTTGGCCCAGCCAGCCTGGCTCAGGGGGTGAGCGTCGACCTGTGAACCAGGAGGTCAGGGTTCGATTCCCGGTCAGGGCACAGGCCTGGGTTGCGGACTGGATCCCCGGTTGGGGGCGCGCAGGAGGCAGCGGATCCATGATTCTCTGTCCTCACTGAAGGTTCTGTCTCTCCCTCTCCCTTCCTCTCTGGCATCAGTAACAATAATATTTAGTTAAAAAGGCAGGCTGTGGGGACTTGACCGTGGCTGCCCCGGTTCGGCTCTTAGACATCACGGCTCCCAGCCCCCTGTGGGAAGTCACAGGGGACATTTCCGTCAGTGGGGTCTCCGGCCTCAGCTCACGCACGGTGACAGGTCCCACACGGTGACCTCGGGCCTCTGCCGGGGCACGGCGGCTCAGGAAGCACTAACGGAGAAGCCTCGGAGGAAAACGCCGGACTCCGTGCAGCCCTGGTCTTCGGGGCCTGGGCCAGAGCAGCCTTCCTGAGGGCCTGGGGGAGGCAGCCAGGCTGGGGCTGCACGAGCCTCCTCACCGCCCAGCCCCCAAGGGCCCAGGGACCCGGGCGGGGCCGGTGGGGAGGGCAGGGTGCCCGGACGCAGGAAATGAGTTCCCCACACTTCCTATATCGTGTTGCTGTTTCACAGGAAACAATAACACATGTTCCTCGCCGAAAAATTAAAAAAAAGGGAGAGAAGCAAGTCAAAGATCCAGACACAAACGGCGAGCAGTCTATTTTTGTCCCCAGCTTTTTCCCAGGCAAATCTATTTGAATTAATTTTCCGTATGTTGGTCAGATGGCCAGCCCGGGGGACCCTCTTGTCACGTCTCAGAGCTGGGTCCCCGGGCCCAGGACCACTCCCGGCACCGAGTTAGCACCCCGCGAACGTGTGGGCAGTGAGGCCAGGCTGCTTCTGTCTGTCCGCCTGTTTGTTTTGTTGTTGACAACATTGGTTGGCCTTCCTCCTTCACTGAGGGAATGTTGTCGTCCCAAGGCTCCCATGTGGGAACCCTGACTCCCCAGGGGATGGTGTCAGGAGGTGGGGCCCTCATGAATGGGGGTCCTGCCTGAGGACACACCACAGCCAGCAGAGGGCTCTTGCTGGCACCCCACCTGCTGGCACCTCCGCCCGGACTTCCAGCCCCCAGAGCTGAGAGGAGAAGGTGGCGTCTGTCACAGCAGCTGAACACACTGACATTTCACACCTACAGCCCGGGCCAGGGAGCGACCGCTCTGGGGCTGAATCTGTGGGCTGCCTGTTTGGTAAATAAGGTTGTTGTTTTTTATGCAATAAAACTTCAGCAGCTCCAGATGGCAGCCACGGAGAGAGCCCACGGAGGAAAAAGCGGGAGGTGTCGTCCCGTCCGTGAAAACAGAGCCGTGGCTGGGCTCCCTCTCCAGGAACACAGCGGAGTCCTGTCCCAGGGACCACCTGGCCCAGAAAGCCAGAAATATTCATTGTCTTGCCGGAACCGGTGTGGCTCAGTGGATAGAGCGTCGGCCTGTGGACTGAAAGGTACCAGGTTCGGTTCCGGACAAGGGCATGTATCTTGGTTGCGGGCATATCCCCAGTGGGGGTGTGCAGGAGGCAGCTGGTTGATGTTTCTCTCTCATCGACGTTTCTAACTCTCTGTCCCTCTCAATTCCTCTCTGTAAAAATCAATAAAATATATTTTAAAAAAATGAAAAGAAATATTCATTGTCTTCCATGTGGTCCTTTAAGAAAAGGGTTCCAGCTCTAACTGCTTTGGCTCAGTGGATAGAGTGTCGGCCTGCGGACTGCAAGGTCCCAGGTTCGATTCCGGTCAAGGGCATGGACTTGGTTGTGGGCACATCCCCGGTACGAGGTGTGCAGGAGGCAGCTGATCGATGTTCCTAACTCTCTAACCCTCTCCCTTCCTCTGTAAAAATTCAATAAAATGTATTAAAGAAAAAAAAAAAAGGGCTCCAGGCCTTGCGAGCACTCTCCCTCTGGCTCCCCTCCCCTCAGATCCCTGGTGCCCAGAGGGCAGCCTGCTTGCCCAGGGCAAGGGATGAGAGAGGGAGACCCACTGACCTGATCCTGGACCTTTGTCACCAACCAGCCCAATTCCCTTTGCTTCTGTCTGTTCACTCGCTGGGTGCCGCCCTCACCCCTCACGTGAGGACCAGGCCCGGATTAGACCAGGAAGGCGTGAAGGTCAGGAGGCGGGGACACAGGGCGGGAGCATGAGGGCCAGGGAGGCAGGTGGTCCAGGGGGCCGTGTCTCCAGCTGACGGACGGCCTGGTTTCCTCTCCTGACTCATCGGGGCGTTTGATGATATTCTGGGGAAGTGCCCGCAGCCCACCGCCCGCCTGCCCCTGGGCTTTGTGTTCCCTGCACTCTCCCCGCCCCTTTCATCCGTGACCCAGTTCTGCCGCCTCCCCCCAGGAGGCGCTGCCCTCCCTGGGGAATTTCCGGAAGGGTGGGAGCTGGCCGGGCGCGGGGCTGTGCCCTGTCCGCCCCCGGCACTGCGAGTTCATCTGAGCGTGGGGACCGAGGCTGAATGAGGAGGGTGCCCACGGAGGCCGTGCAGCCAAGCCTCCCCGCGCCCCACACCCCCTCTTCACCTCTGACCGGGTGGCCGGACCTCGCGTTTGGAGGCACCCGAAAGGGGGACCTGCAACTGTGCCCCAGCCTTCCCAGGAGGGGTCTGGAGAAGGCTCTGGAAGTCCAACTCCCCTCAGCACCATGCTCCCATTGCCCTGCAGCCCTGGGGAGGAGTCCTGGCAATAGGTGCTCAGTAAGTGTTTGCCAAGTGAGCAGAACAGAGAAGCCAGAGGACACGTCCCCCCTCCCCTGACCCCCACCCGTCTGCCTGCCCAGTGTCCACCCCCTCAGCCCGTGTACTTTCCGTGGCCCAATACCAGCTGCGCCCGGCGTGCGGTCAGCACTCAGTGCCTCTCGGTCAGCATCCTGATGGTCAGTGCCAGGCAGGCCCAGAGCCAGAGCTGGGTGAGCAAACGGACATAGGACTTATTTTTTTTGGGAATATCCCAAAGCTCATGAGGAGGACAGCGAGGTGGCACCACCAAGGATGGGCCCTGCCTGGGGACAAAGAACCTTCTGTGGTGGAAGCTGCAGATCGGCACGAGCCCGAGCTCCCCCTGGTGGCCACCATGGGCATTGCCAGTAACACATTGGGAAATTTGTTTTCTGTTGTCATGTACACCTTACTGCAACCATTGAGCCCACGGCCGGGCCAAACTGGTTTAAACTCTATCAGCTCGTGGCCAATCCTGTGTCATCTATTTGCCCCAGACGAAGGCGGGTTCCTCCCAGCTTCCTGGCAAACCCCCCTTTTCGGTCTTTGGGCTCCTTCAGGCCTCAGTGCATGGACTGGACTCGGAGGAAGGGGCTCAGGAGCCGACAAGGTTTGATGGCGTCACAACAAGATGACACTGAGCAGGTGACTGCTCCCAGGAGCCAGCGGCTCGACCCCGCCGACCGCCACCTGGAGCCTGCGTAGGGGACGGGACAGCGAACGAGAGATGCCGCGGACCTCGCTGATCGGCCGTCAGGCGCCTCGCTGCGCCCGGACCTTCCCCGCCTGCCTGCGCTCTGACCGCGAGGGGACTTGAGAATCGAGAGGAACAGGGGGAACGTGGATTCGGTGGCCATCGTGGTTTAATTAAGCGTACAAAATGCTTTTACCGACAGCTTTACGCGCCCCGTTATCAGAAACGAATCAGGAGAGCAATGACGGGAGCCTCGCGAGCAGACGCAGAGCCCTCGCTGGTCAGGAGGGGGCGGGACTCAGAGGCACTTAGGTGCGTGGAGGGAGGGAGGGAAGGACCGCCCCCGGCCCCTCACAGTGACACCGGAAGACGCCCTCTGCCAAAAATACTGTATTAGTGACTCAGTAAGATACAATGTTTAAAAAATATCCAGACTGTGCAAGGTTCTAGGCTGTAAAAAATACAAAGGCTAAAAACAAGACGTTTATAAAATTCTGCAAACCCAGTCAAGTTAAACAAGTAAGAAGTAAGGAAAAGTTATCTTTCTTGCAGGATAGGTTAGTGGCATCAGTAGGTTTTAACATAACACTGGACGGGGACACACACACACATGGCCACACACACATGCCTGCCCCTTTAGACTTATAATGTGGAACCTGATGCGTTTCTGTGCCTGGCACTAACACATGCACATATATGCGCCCACGCACACACATGCACCCACATACACAACACGTGTTACACCTTACATTTCGGACAGAGCACAGCAGGAAGTTCTGGTTATAAGGACCTAACATGATTGTTTGGAAATATTAAAAGCACGGTAATTTGAAAATATTATAAAACCTTTAGGTGAAACAGGGCCAGGGAGCCGTTAAAAAGCCGCGGGTGGGCCGTCACTAGTGAGACAGTGTTACCTGATTGAGCTGCGCACCTCGATGCGTTTCGGCCACCAAGGCCGATGGCACCTGAAAGCTCAGCGTGCTCACACTCTGGACGGGCCGCGGAGTTCCCACACACACGTGGCTGTTCGGGCCACCGACGGACACGTGCCGTTTCCCGCCATGGAGTCCTACGTCCCTCCTGGGCTGGAGAACATCCCAGAGAAGGACAGACGAGACGACGGAGAAGCTGGAGGAAGACGCTCTGACGCGGGGGCGGCCGTGTGAACACCGCAGAGCAGAGCCTGCTGCGACCACAGCGCCGAGGCCCCGGCCCCATCGCCCCGGACGCCGGCTATCGCGTGTGCCCTGCCGGGGACGGAGCGGGCGGCCCGGCCGCGTCCTTCTGGAGCCGGTAGACGTGGAAGGTCTTGTTCTGGAACACGCGAGTGAAGAGCGCCGTGTAGGCCGGCAGGCCCCTCCGGATCTCCTCGCAGAAGCGGGGGTGGCCTGCCGGCTGCAGACCCGCCTCGTTCTCTCCCGGGCCGTCCATCACCTGAAGCCAAAACAGAACCAAGCGTAATTCGGTAAAAAAAAAAAAAAAAAAAATCAAACTTGTAAGAAACTACACAGTGGGAGGGGCTGGTTCCTCCAGTGAATGTAAGGAACGTGGTTCCTATGGCAGCGGCTGCCTGAGGTCCACGGCCTCCCAGCCCAGGGGGGAGAAAGGAGCCGCAGCTGAGGAGGCATGAGCGCAGGGCATGGGGCACAGGGCACCCTTAGCGGTAAGCTGAGCTCGAACTTGTTCTGAGGGGACCACACTGTTTCTCTCACAAACTGGACCAGGAGGACTCACTGTTAAAACCAAAACCAAAACCCCAGCTCATCAGAGGCCGAGTGAAAACGCCACAGGGAGCAGAACTCATTTGGAGAGAGGAGGAACTCTGCCGGGCAGAAAGCGGTTTCACATCCTCTTCCCCGGCTTCCCCGAGGCCGTCAGGGTGTGGGAGGGGTGGTGTGGCGGAGAGTCCAGTCACACCCCGGGTCGGTGGGGGGCGGGAGGGCTCTGGGCCGACCACAGCTGGCGGCCACAGTCCAGATCCCATGCTGGGCACCTGAACTTCTCCAGAGACTGGCTCTTAGGTCTCTGAGTCTTTCCCAGAGTGCACCTGGGCCCGTGGACGGGGCCGGGAGAGGAGGGAGTCGGCGTGGCTGCCACGGCCACAGCCACAGCGGCCACTGATGCTCGAGCAGAGGCTTCCGAAGGCTGAGGTTTTGGTTTTTGGTTTGTTTTTAAAAAAATATATTTTATTGATATTTTACAGAGAGGAAGGGAGAGAGATAGAGAGCTAGAAACATTGATGAGAGAGAAACATCGACCAGCTGCCCACAACCACTGTACATGCCCCTGACCGGAATCGAACCCGGGACCTTTCAGTCCGCAGACCGACGCTCTACCACTGAGCCAAACCGGTTTTGGCTGGTTTTGGTTTTAACAGCAAAATCTTCCACGTGACCTGTAGGCAGAGGCCCTGACCAGCCAGCTGCAGGCCGGTGTCCTCGCAGGCACCAGGACCCCAGGCCGGCGCAGGGCCTGGGCCGCCCACACCAAGCTGGGCGCTGGCCCTCTCAGCACCGTCCACCCGCCCGCGCTCACGTGTCCGCTGGCCCCTCAGGGCCCCGCCCACCCGCCCGCGCTCACGTGTCCGCTGGCCCCTCAGGGCCCCGCCCACCCGCCCCGCTCACGTGTCCGCTGGCCCCTCAGGGCCCCGCCCACCCGCCCGCGCTCAATCACGTGTCCGTTGGCCCCTCCCAGGGCCCCGCCCACCCGCCCGCGCTCACGTGTCCGTTGGCCACGTCCAGCAGGTCCCGCAGGCGGCAGCCGCGCTGGTGCCGGCGCTCGAAGCAGATGCTGTCCTCCAGGATCACGAAGTCGGTGCCCAGGGCGCGGAGCAGTGCGTGCACCTCCTCGGGGGGCCTCCGTGCATACACCTGGTACACCTGTGGGCGGGAGCCATGACGGGGCGGCCAGGCCCTCACCTCCCACGGGCGGGCCCTGAGCCCTGGACCTGCCCCACCTCGTCCCGGGGCCCTTCCCAGGTCCCAGTCCCAGGTCCCACACAGGCCAGGCCCCACCCCAGCGCAGGGGAAGCTCCGTCCTCACCGCCCGGGTGCGCGCCCGCAGCCCGCTGTCCTCGTAGTGCGGGTGGTTGGTGAGCGTCCTGCCCGTACACAGCTTGACCCCGGCTAGCAGCTGCATGCTGCCCGCGAACACGGCCGTCTGCGGGGTGTTGGAGCTGAAAGGGGAGGGTTTCCCGAAGGTTAGGTGATGGACGGGGTGTGTGAGTGTGTGTGTGTCCACCTCCATCGTTAATCCCCATGCTCTGCAGGAGCGGAGTGGGCATCCTTGGGGTTTGACCGGGCTGGGACCTGGGCTGAGAGCAGCTGAGACCCGTCCCTGGGGCTGTGCTCGCTGCCACCGATGCCGGGACCACAGCCCAGTGCCCCAGTGCCCACACCCCCAGCTGCCTGCCAGCAGGTGCCCTGCACCGCGGGGCCCGCCCACCACTCACTCTCCAGCAAAGGCTCTCGCCCACTTAACGCCAAGAGGTGCTAAGGGAGGACATGGCGGCAGGACCCTGTGAGAGGGGCGGGGTCCAGCGCAGACCCTGAGTGACCCCGTGAGAGGGGCGGGGCCCAGCGCAGACCCTGAGTGACCCCGTGAGAGGGGCGGGGCCCAGCGCAGACCCTGAGTGACCCCGTGAGAGGGGTGGGGTCCAGCGCAGACCCTGAGTGACCCCCCTGAGGTGGGCAGGGCCCAGCGCAGACCCTGAGTGACCCTGTGAGAGGGGCGGGGCCCAGCGCAGACCCTGGGTGACCCCGTGAGAGGGGCGGGGCCCAGCGCAGACCCTGAGTGACCCCGTGAGGCGGGCGGGCCCAGCGCACTGAGTGACGGGAGGCTCTTACTTAATCCAGTGCATCAGCTCCACGGTGTCAGGGTCGTAGAACTCCCTCAGCTCCGACAGCTCGTCCATCACGCCCGGCCAGAGCTGCAACGGAGAGCGAACAGCCGTCTCCCGCAGCCCGCAGCTGCGCAGCGGGGAGGGGAGAGCAAGGGCTGCAGGGCAGGAGCTGACCTGCTCGCTGCCTCCCCCTGCTGGGCTGGGACAAAGCCTCAGGGTCGTGGACATGACCAACACCCTGTCTCTCAGCGGAAGGCCTCCGCCCCGAAGCCAGGCTGTGCGAACAGGGATCATTTCCCCAAACCTGCGTGGCCGGCACCGCCCTGGGCTGCCCTGACCTGCGTGCGCCCGGCCGTCCTCAGGGGACAGGAGTCTCACACACGTGGCGGGGGCCACCACGCTCCGTAGAGAGAGAGCAGATCATGGGGGACAAAGCTCCTACTCCATTCACTGCTAAATGGGTCTGGAAACAGCTCTACGCGCGGGATTGGCATCCTCTGAGCGGTGAGTCAGAACCCAAACTGACAACCACGATCGAACTGGGGTCCTGTTCTCCTGACTGGAAACAGGTCAGTTGCCACCTAAGCCAGCCCCATGGCCATCGAGGGTCCTAACCCGCCCAGTGACCGCGTCACAGCGGCCGTTCTGCGCTGGTCAGCGCCAGGACGGAGGCCCCGCGTCCTACCTTACAGCCCAGGCAGAGCAGCAGCAGCAAGGGGATCGCGTGCCGCACCGCACACACCTGTGGAGACAGCATCCAGGGATACGTGTTTGCAACATGTGTGGCTCACTGTTTTGCTCTGTAAACATATGACTTTTTTAAAATAACAGAGGTACAATCTAAGAGAGCATTTAACGGAGTGTCCAACATGCACAGCCACCGAGCCAAGGTCAGGGCTGGGATCGCCGCCCACACGGCCCCCTAGTGAGGCCAGAGGGCAGGACACTCAGAAGCACCCCGGAGGCGGGTCGCCACTGCCCACTGGCCAGGCAGCACGTTCCAGTCACACTAGCGACAGCTCTGGACAGCGGATTATCGGTGACTGTTAAGTTTTCTTTTTGAGCTTTTCAGGATTTCTAAATTCTGTAGAATGAGCATATCTAATGGATGGCTGGGGGGAAAAGAAGTGATGACAAAATAAAATTTAAAAAATCCTCATAAAATCATAATGTATCGCTCTCTACTTTCAGCCTCGCATCTCAGCATCCGTTTACCAGGCGGATGTGCGGGGACTCCTACATGACACAGAGCTGCAGGAGGAGACACTGACGCCGTGATGGGGAGGGGCACTGACCCTGGCCGGGCTGTGAAGGCGGGCGACCTTCAGGAGGCACCCCCACACTTCGGGGCTGCACAGCCCGGCGGCTGCAAACACGCACACGTGCGGCGTCCACAGGTACTTCATCCTGCGGGGACAGCGGGCGGAGGTCAGTCCCCGGACGGCACAGAAACGCCGCCCGGGGAGCAAGGGCCTCCCGGCCCGGGAGCTGGCGCAGGGTCAGCCCGCAGCGCTCGGACCCGGGAAAATTGGCTGTGACTGCGGTTTGTCCTCGGAGGATCGGCAGACGAGGATGCTTTGTGGGAACAGGGCCGTTAAGGAAGACGGGGACAGCCTCCCGTGACATCGCTCAGCGAGAGCAGGGGAGAGCGGCTGGGTAAAAGGATAACAGAGATGAGACGAGAATACCTCATGGTGCTCAGCGCCAAGGCTCCGAACATGACGGTGTGCGTGAGGTTGTAGGCTGTGTCCGGCCCCAGGCTGACGGCGCACCTTCCCGGGGGACCCTGGGCGGGGGAGTCACTGGACAAAACAGCACAGACAGGTGAGAGCTGGACACAGGGTTTAACTTAGTCAGACCTCTTGTGGAGACATACACATGCCCTCCGTGTACCCGGAAATGAATTATTTCCCCAAGATAAAATGAATCGCCATTTTAATTTGCTCATGAGGCTACGAGTGTCATAAGAAGCAGAAAAACTAAAATGTAACGAATTTCATTTTAAGTGCCGAAACTGGTGTGGCTTGGTGGATAGAGAGTTGGCCTGCGGACTGAAAGGTCCCAGGTTCGATTCCGGTCAAGGGCATGTACCTTGGTTGCGGGCACATCCCCAGTGGGGGGTGTGCAGGAGGCAGCTGATCGATATTAATCTCTAATTGATGTATCTAACTCTCTGTCCCTCTCCCTTCCTCTCTGTAAAAATCAATTTAAAAAAAAAGGACTTCGTTAAATTGCAAGAGAATAGCAAACAACAACAAAAATCCTTTTGAAATGCGAAAACTAAGATCTTGAAAGCCATTTTACGAGTTGCCAGTATTTTTAAAGTTTTTACAAATAAGAAGTAAAGCTGTGCCATGAACGTGGGCTTCGGTTTCTGCTGAACCGAGGACCAGGCCCCGGTGCATTGCCAGCTGGTGATGCCATCAGCCACGCCCACGGAGCGTGGCAGCCACGCGCCTCACGCATCTCCACCATCACCGTTTTCTGTTGGCGGCACCTGCGAGTCAGGACTCCTTTCTAAGTCATCTTCCCGTCAAGTCCCCACCCGCCGGGGGCCGTGAGGCTAAGCAGTGATCGCTGCCTGTGCTGCCTGCCTCCCCGACACCCAGCCTCCCAGCACCGAGCCCCCTGCCGGCGCTGGAGCTGGAGGCCACGCACCTGAGATGCCGGAGGGCGACAGCTAGCGCCGTGGTCGCGGTGACGCCCAGCACAGGCAGGTAGGCGTGGAGCAGCAGCGTGTGCGAGAGCCGCCCGAACGTGTCCCAGGGCAGCGGGCCGAAGGCCTCCTCGCACAGGTACAGGTTCGCGTCGAAGTCCCTGGGGACAGACGGGAACCAGGTTAACCCAGGCCAGGAGACTCCGCCTTTCCCTCAGAATGAGCCTGACATGAACAGCTGAAGGCGGAGGATGACGTTTAATATGAAAAGCAAACACACATTTTATTGTTTAGAGAAAGAAGATGATTTTAAATGTAGCCGTACCTTGTTGCTCCAAATCCGAACTTAGCCTTCAGAAACTTAAAGATGTGCTCGTCTGACCTCAGGTTCAGCACTTTCTGTGGGGAGAGGCCAGGAGCTGTCGGTGCCAGCGTGGGGCTTCCGGGGCCTTCCCGGCACAGGCGGGGGCCACACAGAACCAGCGGCGGCCAGCCCGCGCCACCACGTCCTCAGGGTCCAGGACTCCTAAGCAGGGACCCTGAGGCTGTCCCGTCCTTTTTTACAGCAGAATCTTTGTGTCAGACGGGATCTATGTGTAAGTTTAATATGTAAAGCAGATAAAAGATGGGCTTCTTTGGCTTTAGAAGCCCACTGAGTATGATCTTTTATTTTATTATTTGGAAAAATATATTTTTTTTTAATTGATTTTTTACAGAGAGGAAGAGAGAGGGATAGAGACTTAGAAACATCGATCAGCTGCCTCTTGCACACCCCCTACTGGGGATGTGCCCGCAACCAAGGTACATGCCCTTGACCGGAATCGAACCCGGGACCTTTCAGTCCACAGGCCAATGCTCTATCCACTGAGCCAAACCGGTTTCGGCTGGAAAAATATTTCTTTATTGATTTCAGAGAGACAAGGAGAGGGAGAGAGATAGAAACATTAATGATGAGAGAGAATCATTGATCGGCTGCCTCCTGCATGCCACCTACTGGGGATGGAGCCCGCAACCTGGGCCTGTGCCGTTGGCCGGAATCGAACCTGGAGCCCTTCAGTCTGCAGGCTGATGCTCTACCCACTGAGACACAGTGGCTAGGACTGAGTATAATCTTTTAGATCGGAAAATCAATAATCCGATAATCTGCAGCCTTCAGGGGCCACAAATAGAATTTTTTAAATTGAGAGAGATACTTGTTTAAGGCTTTTATAGTTGAGTTTCTAAAAAGTTTAATAACTCAAAAGGTGAGTTCAAGGAAGAACATGTTAGAGTGAATAGAAAGCGAGGACTAAAATCAATAAAATAATCCCGTTACCGAAACAAGTTAAAACTAAGCCTGTTCAGATCCTGGTACATAGAAACCTACACCTGAAACCTACATGTTCATGTTGACCCAAGTCACCCCAATCCATTTAATTAATAAATAAAAAAATAACCCTCCAAACTGAGCCCGTTTAAAGTAAAACTGGTAACTCTTTAGAAATGCTAAATTAAATATGCCATTTTATTAACCTACCTTAATAATGTTGTTGAGAAAAAGCGTCAGACATAAAACCACAAGTAAATGTAACAATAGTTTCCCAAGCCTATGAAGGAAGTTTCCAGTTTTCAGATTTTTCTAGAAATTAAAAAGAGTTGAGTTTTAATTCTTAAATTTTAATATAACTTCATAAACACATAAGGTTACATGAGGTTTTAAAACACTGGGTCACGCAACACATCGGGGGAGTATGTGGAAAACGTTACCTACTGGTTTTCTTATAATCTCAGATAACTTTGCAGAAACCAAATATAACAGCATCCGGAGCTCAAGGATGTGTGACATCACTTACAACGAAAGTTGAAAACAGGAATGAGAAGGAATGCTTTTGGGTCAATGAACAGCCTGTTCTCACCATCTCTGTGACGGCTCTCACTGATGCTAACCACGAATTTCCAAAAACCCAATGATGCCCTTCCCACTTGTTAGTGGGAATTTGGTCCTAAGTTTTCCTTTGAACGCTGCATGAAAGGTCCCACGAACCAAAACATTTACAGACAGAGAGAGAGAAAGAGAGAGAGAGAGAGAGAGAGAGAGAGAGAGAGAGAGAGAGAGAGATCCTACCTGAAGTTTTCTTGCAATTAACACTGAGAGGTTGAAACTGATGAGCAACGACCCAAGAATCATGGAATTGAAGAACTGCAGGGCGCAGACCAGGAGCAGAGCCGTGACCTGGATCGAGTACAGCCACGTGGCCTGCGGAAGGAGGGGCGAGTGAGGCAGGCGATCAGACACCAGCGCCCCCTCTCAGGTTAGACACGCAGAGAGAACGCCCGCTGGACTATGAGCTAAAAAGAAACTAAGTCACACATTTCTGTTTACTTGTAACATTAAAGAGGCAACAAACTGGATACTATGAAGTGAGGAAGCAAAGGACGCTTTAACTGCGTCCTGGACACAGGCTGACGCAATCTGTAGCCTTCAGCGTTCTTCCAAACCCTTTCAGTTTCTGTTGACAGTGACCATCAGTGTTTGATCACATTCCATTCCGCCCCAGCTCCCCCCACGTCGCCCACTGTGCCCTGGCATCTGCGCGCTCGCGCCCACTTCGCCAGGGACTGGGCCTGCAGGCGCGGCACCAGGAGGCCTGCGGCCTTGGCGTGGGGACCAGCTCGTGGCAGACAGGGCCGCGCACCTGACTCTGGGCCGCAGGGCGGGCATGGTGCCAGCGCAGGCGATGGCGCAGGGAAATGCACATGAGCAGCTCTGGTCAGGGACACGCCGGACAAGAAGCACCTCCAGAATGTGGAGCCACACAAAAACGCCTCAAAGGAAAACTAAGAGCTGGTCCTTTCCCTCTTCTCTTGGAATTAGACCACCCCTGGTTTATGAAACTTCTTATGTAGCAGCAAGTCACATTTCCCCCAGTTTGTGTTCTGGCCTCAAAGAAAGCAGATCCCGTCAGCATTTAAAAGTCAGGCCCTCACACACAGGAGGAACAGCAGGGTGGAATTCCTTATTTCAGAGGGAAGTCCGGCGGCCGGTCAGCAGGGCTCAGGCCCCAGGCTGGTTAGATGTCGCTGTGAGGATTTCACAAGGGACGCCAGGAAGCTGCTACATGCCCACTGACTTCCTTCGGGGGGAGGGAGGGAGTCGGAACACAGCCACACATTCTGAGAGCTGTCTTTTAACCGAAATTTAAACTTCTCGATGAAGGACACCTGATCCAGGTATTTGTGCACCAAATAAACTCGCCATTTAACATACACTAAGCAGAATGAGAGTTAAGATGGTCACACACAGCTGTGTTAACCAGCAGCTCAAACGGCACATCTCCGCCATGCCACACACGTGTGTGTCTGCGACAGGCACAGCCCAGGTCCCGCCCCTGCCCCCTCCCCGCCCTCCCTGCTCACCTTGGCGGCTGGCAGCATGTCCAGGGAGTCCAGGGCGAACAGCCCCAGAGCCTGCACCAGCATCGTGAACTGATTGAACTGCCAGGTCAGACTGAAGACGAACGTCGACGTGAAGATGGTGAGCAGGGTCAGCCACTGTGGAAAGAACCTCAGTGACTCACATGCATTTTATTGATTTCAGAAAGGGAGGGAGAGGGAGAGAAACATCCATGAGGAGAGTGAATCTGGCTGCTTCCTGCACGCCCCCACTGGAGATGGAGCTCGCAATCCGGGCATGTGCCCTGACGAGGAATTGAACGGTGACCTCCTGGATCATGGGTTGATGTTCAACCCCTGAGCCACATCAAACAACGACAAAATGAAACCATTTTCTTTGCAAAGGAGAGATGGCTTAGAAGAAAGCGTCGTTTAACTAAAAAACTGGTCAAGAACCAAGGACTCGCCAAAACTGGTTTGGCTCAGCGGTAGAGCGTTGGTCTGCAGACTGAAAGGTCCCAGGTTCGATTCCGGTCAAGGGCATGTACGTTGGTTGTGGGCACATCCCGGTAGGGGGTGTGCAAGAGGCAGCTCGTCGATGTTTCTCTCATCGACGTTTCTAGCTCTCTATCTCTCTCCCTTCCTCTCTGTACAAAATAAATAAAATATTAAAAAAAAAAAAAAAAGAACCAAGGACTCCACATAGGCCTGGGGCACCCGCACGCCACCCCTTCTGAGCTGGGACGACCCTGGAGGCCAGAAACACGGAAAGGACGAGGGGACTCACCTCGGACACAGGCCGCAGGTTTGGTCTCAGGAAATACGTGATGGCCGCGACCTGGACCGCAAAAAAGGGCAGTGCCCAGTTCTCCCGCAGCGGGATGGTGAACTCCACCCGGGTGGTGTCCGTCCTGCACACAGAAAGCACAGTCCTCACCCGTCCCTGGCCACCTGTGCGTGGCCACCTGTGCCATGATCACCCGTGTGCGGCCACCCATCCCTGGCCACCCGACCGTGGTCACCTGTGCTGTGGTCACCCGCAGTCCCACACAGTGGCTATGTAACATGAAGGACAAAGACTCTGGTTACTGGTTCTCCGTAATCTGTCCTCCCCCACCATCCCCACAATGTAACTGGGCAGGGAGGATGTCCAGGTGCCTGTCCACACGCATGCAGCCAGCCAGGGGGTGATCTGGGTAGACACATGCGTGTTCCTGTGACTGCCTCACTGCCTCCCACTTCACCTGTGCACGCTCCCCTGTGCTCTTCACGCTTTACATGCTCTGAACTTGTTACCATTTCTACGAGCCCCTGGCTTCCCTAGAAGGCGACCCCATCGGGCAGGTAGAGGGCAGGCAGTTCTTTGTCCACTGGTTCCAAGCACTCTCTGTACGCACTGTAGGCTTCCAATAAATATTTCTGCTTTACTCTGAAAGCAAGCACGTTTGACTTCCATTCACTCTTCGCAGGGATAACAGGTTAGATCCAAATGCTCAGAGGCAGCTGGTACTGTGGTCGCACCCGTTGGAACTCTGACCGAGACTTGGCAGCGTGTGTACTGACACCGATATGCACGTGCCCGCACATACACTTATCCTCACAGGCGCACAGATCCAGCGCTGTGAGCTAGCCCTTAAGCTTCAATGTCCGCATCCCTACGACGGGGTGATAACAGTCTCTCCTCTGTAAGGCCCATCAGAGAACACACGGGAAGCATTCTGCAAAGTGCTCGGCCCACAGGAACCCCTCGGTGAGGTTACAGGAGAAAGCAGCTCGTTTGGGATTCTGACATAAGGTGCCCGAGTCTGTAAGTTCCCTCCCCGGTACTGGTGCTGCGACCGCAGGTCAGGCAGCTTTTCTATCTAGACGTGTTTTGTAAAGTGCGATTTCATTCTGCCTGTGTTTGGGAGGGAAAGTCAGGTGACGTGGCATTCCTCACATGCGCAGGGCCTGCCGCTCCGAGGGCCAGGAGCTGTGAGCCTGCGAGCCGCGGTGAGGGTGCTGGGAAGGAATTGCCGTCTCTGCGGTGGGGGGTGTGGCTGGAGACGCTGGCCGCACAGCCCCTCAGACGGACGTGCAGAGCAGCTTCCTGAGCTGGAAGCGAGTGACCCCCCTTTGCTTCCTTTGTGAGGAGGGAGAAGGCGACAGCGACCCCAACTCACCTGTTGGCGACGTACCAGAAGGCGGCCAGGAGCCCCGACAGCCAGGTGCCGCTCAGGAGCCAGCTGGTGGCGTAGAGGGCGGCCACGTAGACCGCCTGCAGCCCGAACAGCGTGTAGATGTAGAAGTACACGGGCTCCAGGTACTTCTGCCAAAGGGACGACGCTCGTTACTGCTGGGGACGCCGGCCCTTCCCTTCACTCACACGACAGTGAAACCCTCAGAGGGGGTGTGATTCCACCCCACAGCCCACAGCCCACAGCCCCAGCCCATAGCCCACAGTCCCAGCCCACCGCCCCCAGCCCCAGCCCACAGCCCCAGCCCACCGCCCACAGCCCACAGCCCCAGCCCATAGCCCACAGCCCCAGCCCATAGCCCACAGCCCCAGCCCACAGCCCACAGCCCACAGCCCCAGCCCATAGCCCCAGCCCACAGCCCCAGCCCACAGCCCACCGCCCCCAGCCCCAGCCCATAGCCCCAGCCCACAGCCCCAGCCCATAGCCCACAGCCCCACCCCACAGCCCACAGCCCACAGCCCCAGCCCATAGCCCCAGCCCACAGCCCCAGCCCACAGCCCCAGCCCATAGCCCCAGCCCACAGCCCCAGCCCATAGCCCACAGCCCACAGCCCCAGCCCACAGCCCACAGCCCCAGCCCATAGCCCCAGCCCACAGCCCCAGCCCACAGCCCACAGCCCATCGCCCACCGCCACAGCCCACAGCCCCAGCCCACAGCCCCAGCCCATAGCCCACAGCCCCAGCCCATAGCCCACAGCCCCAGCCCATAGCCCATAGCCCACAGCCCCAGCCCATAGCCCACAGCCCCAGCCCATAGCCCACAGCCCCAGCCCATAGCCCATAGCCCACAGCCCCAGCCCATAGCCCACAGCCCATAGCCCACAGCCCCAGCCCATAGCCCACAGCCCATCGCCCACCGCCACAGCCCACAGCCCACAGCCCATCGCCCACTGCCACAGCCCACAGCCCCAGCCCACCGCCCCCAGCCCCAGCCCATAGCCCCAGCCCACAGCCCCAGCCCACCGCCCCCAGCCCCAGCCCCCAGCCCCAGCCCCCAGCCCTCCAGAGGGGCTTCATCTTCAGCGAGGGCACGCCCGGTTTGGCACGGGTTTACCTGTTCACCTGAAAAGAGGTCATTGTGGCCCTAACCAGTGTGGCTCAGTGGATAGAGCGTCGGCCTGCGGACTGAAGGGTCCCAGGTTCGATTCCGGTCAAGGGCATGTACCTTGGTTGTGGGCACATCCCCGGTGGGGAGTGTGCCGGAGGCAGCTGATGTTTCTCTCTCATCGATGTTTCTATCTCTCTATCCCTCTCCCTTCCTCTCTGTGAAAAATCAATGAAACATATTTTAAAAAGAGGAAAGAAAAGAGGTCGTTGTGATTTGGTAACTTTCCAATGTCTTTTATTTCAAAGGTAAGTGAGGAGTGTGTCCACCTGAACACTCATTGCTTCCAGACGCACACACATAAGCCCGGAAGCACCACGTGTACCACAGAGCTTACGGGACGTGAATAAAATCAAACGCCATGAGTTACGGAGGTGATAGGACACTGCTGCTCTCCCACCACGCCGGCCGAAGATCAGAACAACCAACGCCAAACTTCAACCGGAAACGGCAGATGCTGACGTTCGCCTGCTCTTAACCACTCAACGCGCACAGCACGGCATACCTGTATGGGCAGAGCTCGGTACACAGCGCTGAGGAAGACCTCCTGGTAGATGTTCATTCGCTGGAGCAGGTTAATGGTCCGCATGGATTCCGTTTTGTTATCATACATTAGGCCACGGAAACCTAAGGTTGGTAGTTGAAAAATCAGGCAAAAGAATTACAATTAAAATAATTCATTTATTCAAAACCACTCACAGATACTTTAGGAAGGGCCAGAGAACGTGCCTGCTGTGGAGCAGACGACACCCTCCGGGAGGCATCCTGATCGAATCAGAACCTGGTCCCAGCCAGCGCCAGAGCCACCACCACCTGATGGGCCACTGAGACCACAGAAACATGGAATGGCAGGCGCCAGGGGCTCCGCAAAACCCAGAAAGCGGGACACTGTCTGATAGATCAATCAGCGTTTCCCACAAAAATTACGAGGAAAATGGGAAGACACCTACAGGTTAGAGAAATCAGGTGGGTTTATCTGGCTCGCAGGGACCACTGAACTCTGGGAGCTGCGGAGCCACCTCGTCCTCTGCTGGCAATGCTCTGGAAGAGCCCCCTGAACAGAGGACGGAGCCGGGCCAGCGACACTCAAACAGGTGGGACAGTCACCTTCACAGCAGCTCCTCCGACACTACTGGACTCTGACAAGTTGGGCTCGGCGATCCTTTGTTGTGGGGACTAATGACGGTGTTTCTGTTTGAAGATACCGTCTTTTTCTTTTCTTTTCTTTTGCAGGGAGGAGCTCGTGACCTGCCCAAGGCCATGTGTCCCCCACCCCCAAGCTCCACCCTCTTTCCAGTCCCAGCCGGTGACCCGAGCCCAGCTCATCAGACAGCTCATCAGACAGAGGCAGGGTCGCCCACTGGAGGCGGGACACATCACTGCCCCCCCAATTCCTCGGCGTCCTGCGGGGCGGGAAGGACAAACCTGTGTCCAGGGCTGACTTTCCACAGTTCACAGCGACGGAGCTGCTCTGCTCCCACGAAACCCTCCCAGAGCAGGTGACACCCACTTCAACGCCCACTCTGAGCACTGGCCTCAGCGCCCTGACTCAGGCCGCCTCAGCCGGCCCTTCCTGTATGACTGTACCTCGAGGGCGCCGAGCAGCTGGCGAGAAAAGGGTTTTATGGAACAGAGTTCCGGCTGACGGACCAGGAGGGCAGAGTTAGACTGAAATACAGGCGTAGGCAATGCACCTTCCAACAGCTGCGGACACCACTGCGTTTGGGCTGATGGGTAACTAGCCTTCTTATGGGTAAAACTGCCTCTCTACACGGGAACGGACTAATTTCTACGGCACAAAAAGAAAGATAAGCAAAATCGCTTATCTTGTTGAGACTGAGAAGCATCTCCTCTGAGGAATTCTTGCCAAAAACATGTCTGAACCCCAGAGTCCAGCCAGGACAGCTGTGCCACGTGTCGGGGGAAGCATGTCAGCGTCTAAGAGTGGGGGCCTCTGGCCTCCGTTCTCCGGAGCAGAGGTGAAGAGTGGGGCTGTGGACACGCAGACACAGTGGAAGTGGGGGAAACGGCCACTGCAGACATAAAGGAATGAGCGGGACTGGGACGGCTGCCATTTCGCTTTGTTTACCAAAGTCCCTCCATTCAGACAACAGCCCTTTCACCTGCCAAGACCGCTCCCCGAAGGATCGTGAGAAAAGTCAGCTGCCAGACCGAGAAATCACAAACGTGAACTGTGGGACGGGGAGGCAGGGATACATGGAGTATCATACAACTTCTAGGGCAGAACGTTTCCGTGTTATTTAACAAGTGAAACAACACACGTCGTGTGGAGCGTGCCCCGTGCCCGGTGCAGAGAGTGTTCTGGCCGGCACAGCGGGAGGAACGCGGGGCCGCGGGACGGCGGCACTCACCCTGCATCAGGCTGGGTGCCTGCAGCATCTGCTTGTAGTAGGAGTAGTACAGCCCGCACTCGGTCCGGAAGGAGATCTCCCGCTCCACCTCCTGAAACGAGGGCAGGCTTTCATTTGGGCTCACACAACCCCGTCCGGTGCCGTCTCTACTGTCACCCTCGAGAGAGGACACAGAACCACAAGGCAGAGGGAAACCACTCTGGAGACACAGTCTTAGGAAATCTCGGCAAACAGCAACAACGGACGGCTGGTGACACTGAGGCTGGGTGTTCCTTTTTGGGGTCCTGTATCTGATTCTCTCTACTTTCAAGGGTGTGTAAAATGTTCTGTAAAAGCATTTTTATTTTTTTTTAAAAAAGAGACAACTAGTTCCGTTTAGTTGATGTTTCAGAGGCAACGTTTTTCTTGTATTTCACAACCGGGCCACGTGCCCCGCCCGGGAATGAAACCGTGACTTCCTGGTTCATAATCCCATGCCCAACCATTGAGCCACACCGGCCGCAAGAAAAGACTGATCTCATCGAGGGGGGAAAGAAAGGCACTGCTCCAAGTGCTCACGGGAGAAAGCTTGGTGTCCTCCCCGCTCCTAACACACCCGGAATGTGTAGGGAACAGAGGGTCGTCATTAGGAAAAACGCGTTCAAACATGATGAATGGGTGATCTTGGCACCAGCTGCATGGAACCAAATGCTATACTTTATCAGACAGACATTTGCAAGTTTTACATCTGCTTCCTGCTAAGGCAACATCTGCTTCCCCCGTTCCAACACTTTCCCAGTGTTACAGCATTTTATACTTTGCCGGGTGGGCGGGCGGTGCCAAGGACGACGCACAGCAATAGCGTTACCTCCAAAGAATGCAGAGCGAGCAAATACCTCCTGTTTTACTGGTGTGGGCTCCACAGGGAGAGTGGTACTGAGGGATTGCAAATGTCTTCTCTGACGATAATGACAGAGGGAAGTGGAAAGACAAAGGAACTGTACTTTTAAGGAACTGTACAGCTCAAACCGGTTTGTAGCGGTGAACATAGTAATTTAGCAGAAGCCCTAAAAGGAAAGCATCAGGAAAGGCACACACGACTGCTCAGGACGCACCACCTGTCTCCTGGGCATCACGGAGGGTAACAAGCCCTCTCAGACAAGCGACACCCAATGCGCAAAGGAAACATCCATTCAGGTTATAAAATCTCATGTCAATCACTTTTGTCGCCCAAATGACGAGGCTGCAGGAGGTGGGGAAGCCACGGGAAGATGAACCTTATAACTGCAACCTGTTTCCGAATTAGGTCCACGAGTCATCTCACCGGCCAACAGCAGCTCACAGGAAGACAGCTGTTCCCCGTCCAGCAAACATTTTCCCGGCACAGACCGGTTACTGTCTGGCAAGTCTGTGCCCATCTGGCAGAATGCACGCCTCTCGCCCTCTGGGTGACAGGGGCTGTGGCCCCAGAGTTGCCAAGCTTTGAGGCGCTCGGACGCCTGTCAGAGGGACTGCACTCCCACCGGGCTGACCCCGAGATGACCAGTCTCGGTCTCACTGTGGCTGCCATGCTGTGGACTAACCCTGACGCCTTGCTCGGTAAGAGCATTCAGTGGGAAGATATTCAAATTCTGTGATAGCCAATAAATACATAACAGTGGGAAATGCTGGCACGAGGAAAAAAGACTGAAAGAATCGAGTGTCTGGAGTGCTGTCAGTTCAGGGGGAACTGCTTTTCCTCACCACGGAACCTTCACTTGCTGGGAAGCAAAAAGGTGTAAGGACATAGCCCTGTTGTCAAAGGGTTTCTTTTCCAAGGAGAAGAAAGAACTCACTTTAAAGAAAATAAAATGACTTCAAGGAAAGACCGGCATCAGTCTGAGGGAACGAGGGCCATTTGCCTGAAGCGCCAAACCAGCCCTCACACTGGACACTGTGTCTGACAGGCTCCTTCCTTCCTTCCTTCCTTCCTTCCTTCCTTCCTTCCTTCCTTCCTTCCTTCCTTCCTCCCTCCCTCCCTCCCTCCCTCCCTCCCTCCCTCCCTCCCTCCCTCCCTGTCCTATCCCTCCTTGTTTCTATCTCTCTATCCCTCCCTCCTTCCACAAACACCTGCTGACCGACTGGTGAGCTGACAGTTTGAAGCTAAGCTGTGGGACTCTCCTGCACCCTCCTCACTCTTCCGTGACCAGCACTGATTTTGGCTGTGTGCCCACACAGGGGCATCTGAGTCTTTATTCAAAACACCGGGCTAATCAGTAAACATTAAACTGACGGAGAATATCATGCCAGGCCCTCAGACACCCCTACCTTGATGTTGGAAAACCATAAGTCGTTTTCATGTAAGGTGGCCAGGTAGACAGACGTCAGGAGTCCGGCACAGAGGGCGATGGCTCCACCGACGGTGAATGACAGAATCTTCCATAACCTTCTGCTGGTACCGCCTTCTGGAAAAACCAAACCGAGAAAGAACGAAGTCAGTAAAGAACTAAGTCTGTCCGCCCTGGCCGGTTTGGCTCAGCTGACAGAGCGTCGGCCTGCGGACTGGAGGGTCCCGGGTTTGATTCCGGTCAAGGGCAGATGCCTGGGTTGTGGGCTCAATCCCCAGTGGGGGGTGTGCAGGAGGCCACCAGTCAGTGGTTCTCTCTTATCATTGATGGTTCTCTCTCTCTCTCCCTCTGAAATCAATAAAAAAATGTTGAAAAAAAAAGAAAGAAAAAAGAATTGCAGTCCTGTCTCAGACCCTCAGGCGTGCTGACTTATCCATCAAACTGAAATGTCGGGGTTCCGGACAAGCGAGGCGGCAGGGCATGATCTTGTGGGGGTGACAGAGGCGCAGAGAGCGAGCGCCCGAGGCCTGTGCATCACCCACCGGAGGGCAGTTTGGGTTCCCGCGCCGCGTCCTCCTGCTGGTCCTCCTGCTGGTCCTCCTGCGGGGCCGCGCCGTCCCCGGCCGCCCCAGCCGCTCTGCCTCCTTTCCTCTGCCGGATGGACATCATGGTGTCAGAGGCGCCCACGCATGGCTCTTCCCAGGCTCCTGCAGACGCACCTGCGGGAGTGGAGTGAATGGGACCCGGGGGCTCAGGCTTCGGTGGCCTTCCCGGGCGCTTTCCCATCCCCCTTCACATCTCCACCTCCAGCAAAGCTCCCGGAACCCCTCAGAGAACCAGCAGGAGGCCGCTGAGACCTGGCAGCCTCGCCCTGGTGGCTTCCCTGCCAGTGGCCTCCCTGCCGGTGGCCATCGTCCCAGAGCCAGGTCCCCGCACCGCCCACAGGGAACCCCACAGCTGCCTCCCCCCCCCACCCCCCGCGCCCCAGGAGCCCCGCAGCCGCCTGCCCCCCGGGCCAGCAGCCAGCCTGGGGGGAGGAGGAGGGCAGGGGGTGTCCCGGGTGGACCTCATTGCCCGCCTCCCCACCCCCTGGGCGCTGCCGTGGGGCCTCGGTGAGTGGCCGCTCCCCGGTAACCTGTCCGGGGTGCGCGGGCCGCGGGGCTCCGGAGGGTCAGGCGTCCCGGAGGGTCAGGCGTCCCGGAGGGAACCCACCCGCCCACTCACCCACCCGCCCACTCACCCACCCGCCCACTCACCCACAGGCTCCAGAAAGGACCGCCCACGGGACTGACACCGCCGCCGCTCCCGCCTCCTCCCGCCTCCTCCCGCCACTCACTCACTCCTCCCTCCGTCCGTCCATCCATCCACCCACCGAACACTCGCTCCTCCGTCCATCCATCCGTCCATTCATTCATTCATGTGCTCGTCCGTCCATTCGCTCAGCATTCACTCATTCATTCATTCGCTCGCTCACGCAGAATCGCGGGGCCCAGCGCGCGGAACGAGCTCGGAGGCCCCGCGTGCAGCGCGGAGGCTGGCAGAGCCTGGCGGAGCCCCACGCGTGGCCCTCCGGGCGCCACGCCGGCCGGACACACGCTCGCCCCGCGGGGCCGGCGCCGTGACGGCCGCGGGCCGCGACGCAGCTCCGTCCCCGGAGGCCGTGCGCGCGGCGGGGACGGTCCCTGGGAGCAGCCGGCCGGCCGGAGCACAGACCTGCGCTCGGCGTCCTCGGCTCGGGCATCGCCGCCCCGGCCCTCGGCGCCCCGCCCGCCGGCCCTGCCCGCCCGGAGCGGCGCGCGCCGCCGAGGAGACGGGGCCTCAGGCGACAGCGCCGGGGCGGGGGCGCGCCGGGGAGGCCGAGCAGGCACGGGCGCTGCGGCCGCGCTCATAGGCTCCCGGAGCCGTCCGTCAGCGTGACCCCGCCCCTCCCCGTGTGGCGCCGGCCGGAAGGAAGCGGTGAACTTCCGGTTGGTTGTCATCCAAGCCGCCGGAAACAGAGCAGCACACTTCCGGTCCTCAGCCTAGCGGGACCACGTCTCCTGTGTGCACACAGCACTGAGCCGGTGGGGCAGGGGCTTGGCGCAGTGCTCGCAAGGAGCACAAAACGATCCTGGTCACAGCATTTTCTGTATTATTATTTTTAACTTTCACCCTAGGGCATTTTTCCATGGATTTTGAGAGAGACTGAAAGCGGGAAAGACAGAGACGGGTTGCCTCCTGCAGATGCCCCGAGCAGGGCCCAGGAGCCTGCAACCTAGGTCCGCTCGAACTGGGGCCCTTGAGTCCGAAGGCCGATGCTCTATCCACCGAGCCGAACCGGCCAGGGCACATGACTTAGTCTTTAATTGTGCGGTTATTTTAGCAGTCCATCGCCTTAACCACTCCGCCACCTCGTCCACTAATTGTGCGGTTATTTTAAACAAGTTGTTTGGTTTTTCCATAGCAGTGATGACGACGCAGTGAGCTATGAGTTATGGTTGAGGCCTCTAAGAGACCAGCAGCACTTTATAAGAATACTGAGAAGGAATATTTCAGTCCTGAAGTTGGTGCTAAGAAAAGCTTTCTTCTTCCCCAGCTGGTTTGGTTCAGTGGGTAGTGTCAACCTGCAGACTGAAGGGTCCACCTGAAGGGTCCTGGCTCAATTCTGGTCAAGGGCTTGATCCCCAGAAAGGGGTATGCAGGAGGCAGCTGATCAGTGATTCATGTTTCTAGCCCTCCCTCTGCCTTCCTCTCAGAAATCAATTAAAAAAAAAAAAAAGCTTTCCTCTCTGGGAGCTTTAAAGGACAGAGCATACTTTTCCTACGGGTCTAATGTGGGCCTTGTGGGGTGTACCGGCTGTCACAAGTTCTCCATGCTGCAGCCCTACAACATGTAAGCCAGGGGCGTGGCTGTGTTCCAGTGAAATGTTACCTACGGAAGTGGAGGAGGGTGAGGTCTGACACAGGGAGGTCATGTAATCTGTACAGGTGTCCACCAGCAACTCAACGTGAGCCATGTGTGGAAAACTTTCTAGTCGTCACATTATGAAGTAAATTCTAATGACATTTAATCCAAAATGTCATCATCCCAACTTGTAACCAATATAAAACAACTATTGAGATACCGCCTGTTTTTTTGTACCGAGTCTTTGAAACCGGTGTCTTGCACGCGTATGGCACACCAGTGGCATCTGTGCTCCACGGCCCCATGTCTGGTGGCTCCCACACTGCACCCTCCGTGCTGGGCTTTCTCCGGTGAAGCTGGAGCTTAGTGCAGAGTGGCGCTTGGTCCTGAAAAGAGAGGGGACTCTAGGCAGGCAGGATGAGGGGTCACAGCCGTTGTGAGGGAAGGTTTGGCCTCAGACACGTTAACACACTGCAGACGGATCACGAGAATTCTCGCTTATTAGTGTTTGTAAAAACAAAAGTATCATACTTTAATAAAAAGATATTAGCTTGTAAGAACATGTAATAAACAATGGGCTATTCAAAATGCAATGGATATTTAATTTTAGAGAGTGCCTTTAACATTTATGTAAAGCCGTTTTTTTCTTGTTCAGTAGAAACTTATCTGGCCCCTGGGTAAAGCCAGCAATCAAACTGCTGGTCCACAGTGTGTTAAGAGAGGGCGGCCCAGGACACTGGGGCACAAATGGATGACCAGACCAGGGAAATCATGATGTTCGCCTCCCGTCCTCACGCAGCAAGCCCACCCTGAGGAAACACCCGGTGTGGACCACATCGCAGCCGGTGGCACACACATCGTGGTGGCCTTCCACAGGAACGTAACTGCCACGCACAGAGCTGGCCTGGAACTTTGCATGAGAACGGAAAGCACGGGAGGATGTGACCTGGAAGACAGAAGGAACGTGCAGCCAGGAAAAGGCTTCCAAACGGGCTGGGTTTTCACAGTGGTGCTAGTCAGCATTTGTTGGACGAGTTATCAGAGGGCGATCCTAAGCCTTAGCTGTCTCCTTGGGAAGTTCATTATCTAAACCTAACTTCCTAAGTGATCAAATCAGTATTTCCCAGGTCAGTACAGATAGAACCTTTTGCTAATAAGCCTCGAGGCAAGTGTTTTGTTTTTTTTTTTTAACAAAAAATTTATTACCAAAATACAATATTAAAGTCAATACGTGACAAATTCCTATAAAGCAAAATAAATTATTCTAACATTGTACAGTATTCCCGAAGGCAGCTGGCGCACGACAGCTCGGCCTCACTGGTGAGCGGGCAAGCTGTTCTGCCGTGAGCACAACCCCGGAGTTTTCGGGCATTAAGGCATGCAGCTCGCTGTGCAGGATAATTTCACAAAATGCAAACCATCCCATTTTACACATTGTCAGGATGAACTGTCGTTTCCCACATCAGTGTTCCAGAAATGTTCAGACTTTGGCTACAGAAGCAATGCTATATAGTGTTACACAATACTCATTTCTTAAAAAAATACATGTCTTCATGTCCTTGAATAGCAAACTCAAGTTCCTATTAAATATACTTTATAGACTATGACTTAGAGCACCTTGCTGTACAATAAAAAAAAAAAAGGTTAAATAAGTGATTATGAAAACTGAAAATATACTGAGTCTCGCCAGGGCAGTCTGCTGTCTCTGACAAGCCTCGTACACTGCAGGAAATAGAATGTAAACGTGGATGCCCCCTGCTCCGTGAGGAAAGAGAAACAACACCCAGCCACCGACGGCCACCTCCAACAGGACGGAAGACCTGGGCGAAGGTGGTACAAGTGTCACCACCACATGGTGCCTCCCGATTGCCGGAGTGCTGGCACTTCAGAGCCTGGCCAGTGTGTTCTGGATTATGAGAGAGGGAGGAAACATGGAGCCCTGAACAGTGTTCCTTATCCTGGGCACATGTATCACCTTCCCCCCCCGCCCACCACCTCTGCTTTATCCAGTAAGTTTATTTGAAAAACTATTTTCCCTATCAACTCTAAGAATTATCAAGTGCTCAGAGTGGAGAACAAAAGGTTCTGTATGGCAACAGGTCAGAGCCCGTGAATAAAATGTTACTTCTAGAAAGGGGACTCCTGCTGGTTGCTTCCTCAATCACTACTGCATGTTTAGTCTTTAGAAATACTCAGTTGTCTTTGGGAGAGATATTTAAGGCTGGCCACAAACCGGGAAGGAGAATGCCTTGGGTAAGAGGTTCCCCCTACAGGCCAGGAGAGAGCTTTTGAGGATTGTCTAGGCCAGATGAACAGTAAAAGACTTTGAACTTCTGGGCTAGTTTTTATCCCATGAGCTAGGGATACTTTAAATCCATGATTCCAAGTGAAAAATTTAAGTAACGATCAATGGAAGTGGTTTAAGGAAATGAAGAAAGATAGTTCAAAATTTCACTGTTGAAATTGTTGGGATTTTTTTGGTTATTCGTATTTTCCAAACGATTACATAAAATTAAAGCCACGGAAAATTTATAAAACAAAATCCTTTGAAGGTTGTTAATTTTCAGAATCAGTTTTTTGTAAAGAAATACCGGGTCATAGCTACAGGCAATGAAGGAGTGGACTGAGGGGTAAGAATATAAGTGATAATAATAGAACTATTTAAAATATTTTATTTGAATTTGAAATGAAATGGTTTTAATTCTGAAAACAGGAGGAAATGAACACAAATCCACAGGCAGTGGACTTGGGGAATATAATTTACGATATGTGAACTTGTTTTACCTTTGTAAAATCCACATACCAGGAATGGAGTAACTTTCATAAATAACTTAGAGCTACCTAAACTGAAATGCTGCAGTTATGATCCATTCTGTGTGTTCACATCATCATGAAAGTGAAATGATGCCTGGCCCCTTAAATCGTTCCTAATGCTACCTTAGAGACGGGAACGGGTCCAGGTCACACCTGGACTTTGGGAAGAGCATTCTTTCCTAAAACGTGTTCCTAGAGCATCATATTCGAACCCTGTCTTCCCCACTGATCGGCTCCGGGGCAGGAGCCGTCAGGAAAAGCACCAGGAGGCGGCCCGCATGGTCCCGCCTCAGACTGTGGGCACAGTTTCCTTCAACAAAACAAGGCGTAAGTAAATGACCAAACTACCAATGCAAACACAACACACCCTGTCCTCTCGACTCTGGAGAACGCATTAATACAAAACGTGTAAAAAATGAGAAGTCACATCTATTTTACGGCGTGCTCCAAAGCAAAAGCCGACGGAGGAATTTCCTAAAAAGGAGAAACCCTAAAGACTTGCCAAATGTTATTTGTTATTAAAAGCTTTATAAACAACCTGAATTTTCATATTTTAGTCACATGTGGTTACCTCCCTCGTGCTAAGTGTAACTAAATCAATGAACTCAAGGGAAGTAAAACCTCAAAGCCCTCATTTGAACAGATTCTGGATCTCACCCTTCTTCCCCCAAATGACTTTTAAGAGATCAAACTATTAAAAAAAAAAAAAAAGAGATCAAACTACTTCCAAGGTCTGATGATCAAGTGCAAATCTTATACTTTGTTGTTTTAACAGACTCTTCCAGCTAAACGCTCGGACTGGTTTGGAAGAGGGGCAGACGGCTGTGTAATTGCCGAGACCCTGTGGTGACCTGTCAGATCCCAAACGGAACCTCTGGGGAGCACCTGCCCTGCGCTGAGACAGTGTTAGCAACCTTAAGGTCTGGCCAAGTCTGGTGCCCACAGGAAACCCTGTAAATTTAAGACATTTACTCCTTAAATGCCTATTTACAATCTAGGTGTTGATTCAGAGGTCTGCTTTCTTTCCTTTTTTTGAAGGAGTAAAGCAACATATCTGAGACCGAGTATCTGACACTTCCTCTCCGTTGGAAGGCTCAGGTAGAATGCTGAGTCTCTCTGCAAAGGAAGAAAACCAAGCCCTGCTTGAGACTGTGTCGCTTTTATAGCAATAGTTTTAGGACAGTTCCTGAAAAACCCTTTCTTAGCTCTTCTGTTTGCATTTCTAGCTTTTAGTAATAAATACACTCAACACTAACAAGAGGTAACAGAGGGTTAATACAGGGTCACGTCTTTGCTTCCTCTCCAACCCATTTCCCCTTGCTCAGAATACTTAAATATTATTGCTGTTCATCCATTTGGAATTCCAGTCACACCTGTCAGTCCCCCGTGTGTCTGCCGGGCGTCTGAGGCGGCGAGACACAGGCCCGCGGCGTCTAGCTCGTGTTGAGAGCTGCGCCGGACTCCTTGTTCAGGATGATGTTGACAATCTCACCCTCGTGCTCCTTCATGTGATCCAACAGGTTTTCTTTGCTGGTGGATTCGAAGCCACAGATACAGCAGCAGAAGAGTAAGACGCAGTACTCCATTCCCGGGGGGGCCGCCCCGGGGCTCTTGTCGGAGCGACACGAGGAGTTGCTTGCGGGGCTCAGTTTCTCGCGCTCGGCGGGAGCCTGGGGAGCCTGAGGAGCCGGCTCCGAGGACGACAGCACGGTGTCCACACCCCCAGTGGGGGGGTCGGCTCCTTCTTCACTGCTGTTTACCTGATTCTTTCCAGGGGATTTCCCTAGGACCCTTAAAGCAAGCACAGCACCAGACCGTGAGTGGGCTAGAATGCAGGGCTGAATGCATGGGACAGCGCAGCCCGCACGGCGTCCGTACCTGCTGCTCTGGGAGATGGCGTCGTTGATGGCCTTGTTCACCTGCTCGTAGTTGTAGTTGCGGTCGCTGGCGTGCTTCCACATGTGCGACTTCAGAGAAGGCGGGTGGCTGCACACGTAGCCACACAGAGAGCACCTGGAGTGGGAGGGAACCACGTCTGTAGAGGAAGCCCACGTAGGTGAAAGCAGGGCCTTGCAAGGCGTGTTCTGTCAGGTTTCACTGAGATGTCACACACACACCTGACCACACTCACCCGTGCTGCACCCAGGACCCCAGGGGAGAGCTGGCACACGGAGTAAGTGTCCTCGGGTGCGAGTGCGAGCCCAGGCCCGGCACTCCCTGTCCTGCCGGCCTCGCTGGGGCGGAAACCGGGTTCCTCCGGCTGCCAGCAGGACAAGCTGACTGCGAAAGCAGCGGTTTATGTGCAAGAGGCCAATTTGCTTAGGAGTCATGACTTCTACCTGCCAGCGTATCGCCATCAACTGAGAACTCTGCTATTTCCTGAAAACTGCTAGAATTAACCTTGGTGGAGAACCAAGTAATAAAATGATCTTGTTCTCCACATGATAGACTAATTTCCCAAAACAGAATCTTTCACAGGGAATTTTATTGCTGTTAAGCGTTCAGACTCTTCTGCTGGAATACTCAGGCCCAATGACTGAACATTGCTGCCTGACGATTCTATGAAACTGGAACCGGCACTGACAGCCACGAGCATCGTCCCTGATTCCAACCAGACACAAGGCTGTGGGCCGGGACTCCAGCTCAGAACGGGGAGTCTTTAACCAACTGAACACCACCTGGGAACGCTGCTTACCATCTAACCTGCGTTCAAACAAGTGCGCGAGTGCTTAATAACTTTTACTTTTTTCTTCATTACAAGTGCTGAGCACAAGCATTAGACCCAGGGCCATCACACTCACCTGTACGGCTTGTCCGAGTTGTGTGTCCGTCTGTGGTTTCTGACACCAACATATGTTGTACTTGTGTAATCACACACGTCGCATCTGTACTGTTTCTGGACTGAAGACTTATTCTCTGGACAAGGCATTTCAGAGTTTTAGTGACAGGCTTTCATTAGTCAAATGGCAGCACTTACATCCCACTGTCAATGAGCACTGACACCAGCAGTACTAATAGCTCCATCCAGGCTCTCTCCAGATCAAGATAACAAGTCAGAAAATGGCTCACAGGCACTTGGACCTGGACCACCAGCAGATATAAAATGAACATCACCTGACTGGGAGACATAGATACATTGGGTTGGTCTCTACATAACCTTGCACAACGTTCTAAAAGGACGGACTTGATGCCAGTGCCCGCTGACTACTAGCAGCTGAATTAACCAGAGACACAGTTAATGTGAAAGGTATTAGTCTAACCAACATGGGTACATTGTCTTAGGGAAACAACTATTTGCCAACAACCTATAATTTAGTATCAGAATCCAGTAAAGTGTGGCTACAAAGTATCTGTAACAAACGGAATATAAACAGCCTAGTGCTTTCTCAGTCTGTGGGTTTCCTCTGTTTATGACTGTCAGCTGTCAATGCAACAACCAGGGAAAAGCAACTGTCTGCTATTACACACCAGGTAACGCTGTGCCGCTAGTGACATCAGCACCCGGGCAGCTCCGAGGACGAAGGTTATAACCAACGTGAATGTGCAGCTGGCTCCACAGGCCCCCGTGCCACAGGGCTGGGCTGCTGAGCCGGGGAAGCCTGGACACAGCCGAGTGACGTGAGCAATGGACACTGCTCCTGAGGATGCCCAACCCGTTTACTCTGAGCACCGAGTCCACAGCCATCCGCAGCCTGCCTGCTCTATCCTCAGAACAAACCAGCACGGCCACGGAAGAGGGCAGAGTGGGAGGAAGCTTAGAGACAACACACCACAGCACAGGGAGGTGAAATGCAGCACAAAAGCAAATCCACACTAAATTTTAACAAAACAAAGAAAATCCTTAATTTAAAGCTTTGTAAAATTGTTATTTTCTTTTGCTAGTACCTACTACGTTTGCCAGACAGAACAAAATGTCCTAATATCCTGGCATAAACAGGCACACTAAGCATGACTATAATCTAAGTATTACTCTTAACTGGTAGGTTAAAAATTTGGACTTGATTAAAAGAGCACTGCTCCAAATGCAGTTTAAAAAACTCTGTGTGAGCAGCACTGCAGACCAACCACGAGTGAAAACACCACGAAAAGCTGCCTGCACACAGACCGGGAGGCTGTGTCACCCGAGCAGCTGTTTCCAGGGAGAAGGTCCTGGGTTTCAACTGAAGACCTTGGGCTTCATCTGTGCTGCCAGCAGCACCGTGCGATCACATGCAAATGATTTCCCCTCTGGGGACTTGGCTTTCTTATCTACAAAACGAGCGACTGGAGGATTCCAGTGCGGTCAGCTCGCCAGGGGCACTGTGTTCCTCTGCCGCCTCTCCAGGTTCCTGTGAAGTCTCTGACGTGTCCTAGCTGCTAACTACTGCGGGCAGGAACCTGCCTGCTGTGTTTACAGCGACTCCCCAGGGCTTGGCAAATTACAGGTTTGCAACAAAGAACAGTTTACTTAAATCTGACAAGGAAGCACACACGGAGGTGCTCTGCCCGCGGCTTTGGTGGAGCGCCATCTGTCCTGGTCACGGGGCCCCTCACTGGCACTGCCCTTCACTGTACTCCCAGCACCAGGGCCAGCCCAGGACGGTCCTGACTTTGGCAGAACACACGTCCCAAGTACCGTGGCCCTGTGCATCCGAGCTGAAACGGGCCCTGAGGCGCCCGTGCCGTCCTAATGGGCAGAGACGGACCACAGGGCACGGCTCCCTCTTCTTCAATGCAATCATGAAGCGGTTAAGTTTCAGAATGCCAAGGACTAATCTGTCCCTCTCTGTGAGCTAGGAACTTGTTCTTTGGTTTGACCACCAGATTCTGAAAGCTCAACGCTGAGTGAATAAAGCGCCCAGGAGGCCGTCCGTCATCTGAACTGTCACTCTCTGATGACAAAGACGGACGAGTGGGCCGGGTGGGGAAGGCATGGCCTGCACGTGAAATCCACCCTCAACCCCAGGCGGCTACAAGAGGGAATGTAGCAGACACACTAATGTTGGACAACTCGCCATACAACGATGAACTGGTTACTTTAATTCTGAGCTCACGTTAATCTTCCCATTAAAACTGAGTTTTAACTTGTTAACGGCCCATGGGGACAGTGAGATGACTGCCTGAAAGAGCAGATTTAGCCTGTGTTCACTGCAGGCAATGCCCTAAGAGACCTGACTATCCCGCCATTAGGAATTTCCGGCCCAAAGCCATCCCAGGTCTGAAGGCTCCTTCACAGGATGCGGAGCGTAATGGGTAAAGGGGGAGGGGCACTCGCCTTTCTGCAGAAAGGAAGCAAACTGTCTAGCTCAGCCATCTCTGCAGAGGCAGATGCTCTGCCATAAACTCCTTTTGTCTGGGAGACGTTTGCAGGGTGACAGCTGCTTGACAGGGGAGGCGGGCGTCAGCGCAGTTCTCAGAAACATTCCCGCGTCGGTTATGCGTGCTGTGGCCATAATGTGATGAACATTACAGGAAAACATTTCACTCTGCAATTGTTTCTAACTTTAATTCTTAGGAAATCTAAAAAGGAAAGTCACCCAATATGTTTTATTCCCCATAAACACGATGCACCACACTCAAGACACGGGAGTTTATCAATTTAAGCGAGCTGACGCAGGGAAGCGCAGCTCAGCACCGTTAGCCAGATTCTCCGGATGTGGCACCGCCTCTTCATGGGGCACGAGCGAAATCTTTTGATGCTAATATTCCTATTAGCCGAGCACTACCTGACGCATGCAGAGATCGGGTGCCGTGTTTGAAAGAGAGTGCAGGTGACATCTGGCAGCAGCCTTGGTTACGACAAGATCACAGCAGGGGCCTCAGTTAGAGTCTGGGAGGGGGCTGCCATCTGTGAGCTGTTCTCGCGGGTCAGCTGAGCTGGGGGAGGGGCAGGCTGCTTCACTGCAGCTTCCCTGGCTCCTGGGCCTGGCACCTAAGGTTCATGCGGCCTTTGGCTCTGACAGGACAGCAGGAATGTCAGTGTCAGATCTCCCTACAAGGGGAAGCTGAGGACTTACTCCCAGTGCTTCGTTCAGGACTCAGAGCGTCCCCAGGAGGAGACCAGAACCCACAGTGCAAAACAGAGGAGGACCGATGCAGCTTTGGTGCTGAAACCCCCCACCGGACAGGCTGCTGAGGGGCTTCTCACCTGGTGTGCGAGTCGTGCGGCCGTGTGGGATGCACACCTACCTTCCTGGGCGCACTTGGCCTCGGCGGTGTCCCTGGGGACCCTGGGCTCAGCAGAAGCCGCCACTGACAGGGGGTCTGGAAGGCTGTGCTGCTCTCTCTCGTGGCTCCTCAGCTGACTCTGGACACGAGAGAAATGAACAGCAATTCCTAATGAACTCACTGCAGTTACAGGAGCCTGGAACCTAGGACACACCACCAACGCTTCCAAAGCAAACGTGCCCCTCATTACCCGAGCCTTTGGCAGTTTACGGAAGCACTGCCCCGGGAGCACCAGGTTCCGTCCTGGCGTGGTGTGTGCACACTCACCGTGGGCAGGCCCGGGGAGAGGGCCGGAGGCCTCCCAGAGCCAGCGCTTTCACAGAAAGAAACGACCAGCCACTGCACTGCGGGCCTCCTGCAGCTGCATCCCAGGAGTCAAGAGCACAGTTGCTGCAGGCACCCCGGGGACTGGCCCCGCCCCCACCCCTACCCCCACCAAATGCCCCCCTGTCCAGTGGCCAAGGCCATTCCAGATTCCAGGAGGGCAATCTGAGTGGAGCGGAATCTCCCTCAAAGGCCTTTCCTTCCTGAACCATCTCACTCCCAGCCTCCCCTGGGTCACCTGAGAAAGTCCATGTCCCCGTTTCCCAGTGGCCCCCTAGGATAGCAAAAAAATACGTCCCCCATCAACTGGCATATCGAAGAAATAAGTCCCAAACCACTGATCCGAAGAATGCAAGTTTCCTTTACAAATCAGCATTACACGCTGGTTGTTGGCTTTGAGGTCGCACATAAGGTGAAAGTCACATAGTCAAAGCGACCTTGAAAGTTCCTCAAACTGCCACACAGCTAACACGTGGCTCTCCGCCCACGGCACTGCCTCATCCAGCCCATTCTTCCTCTGCAACAAACCGAGTCTGCGGGCTGGCTGGGCAGCCCTGGAGGGAACGGCCTGCAGTTGGGGGCCGTGCACTGCCGATGTGGTTACATCTGTGTGTGTGCATGCTGTCCCCGCCGCACACCCCCTGCACTGCAAAAGCCACCCGTTCTGAAGAGACTCTACAACACTATCCAGGCCGGAGGCGGCCAGGAGTCCCAATGAGCCCGTTTCAGTCCCCATCGTCTGGCCAACTACCAAGCCCTCTTGGGTCCGTTTCCCGACGGAGCAGGTGTGGGTGGACTGACCCCCACCACGCCTGGGCCTGCTGAGCCGGGGTTCCCGAGCACGGGGCCGTACCTTATAGTGGAAGGCCTCGGCGCAGCGCTTGCACTGGTACAGCCGGGCCTTGCAGTGGTGGATCATGTGGCTCTCCAGCTCCTTGCTGCTGTCGGCCACGTGCTCACAGATGGGACACTGGTAGGGCTGCCGCTGCCGGTGCACCCGCAGGTGCTGCTTGATGTAGCCCTTGTTCCCGCTTGCGTAGTGGCAGAGGCGGCAGCGGTAGGGCCGCTCGGCATTGGGGATGTACTCCACCACGCCGCCGCCCGACAGGCCGGCCTCGCCGCTGGGCTGGCACTGGGCGTTGTCCTGCAGCTCCTTCAGGATGTCCTCGTCCGAGGCGTTCTGGTCCGTCCTCTCCCGCAGCTTCTCGATGACGGTGAGCAAGGACACGCTGATGCCCGTCTTCGCCTGCCCGTCAGACAGCTCCTGCCTGCCCTCCGGGAGCGCCACCAAGGGGCAGCTGCTTTGGTTAAAGCTCGCTAATGCGCTGGAGGAGTTTTTAAGGGGTGACATCATTTTAGAATAGGCTGCCAAGGTGCTGTCCACCTGCCTCTGCCCGGTGTCCGGGTCTAAGAGGCTGACGTTGCCGTAGTGCCCCAGGTTGGCTCTCGTGAGCTCGGCGGCTCTGATGGGCATTGTGACCAGGGCTTCTGCCGCCAGCGAGTGCAGCCGCAGGGACTCGGAATTGGTCCTCCTTCGGCCCGGGGGCGCGTTCTCATCGGGGGCCAGTCCCGGGTGGATCAGCTCGCTCTCCTTCTTCTCCGTGTTGCTCCAGCCTATGATCAGGCCCCCGATGTCGACGGTGCACTGGTCGGCACGATAGGCCTCCTCTCCCCCCTCGCAGCCTGCCGGGGGCCCTGCAGCGGCCGGGAGGCCCCCCTCCTCCAGCGCGGCGTTCACAAGGAAAGGCTTCTGCAGCACGGTCTCCTCGGCGCCGGGCAGACGCTCCACGATCACGTTCACGTGGCCCTTCTTGTTGGGGCTGCTGCTGATGATCTTCTGTGCCGACGAGAGGAGGCTGTCCGCCATCAGGCTCTCCTCCGCGTCGGAGATCACCTCCAGCACGTCCTCCTCGTGGGGCCCGAGGGCCACCGCCCCGCGGAGGCCCCTGTCTCGACACGCACCCGGCAGGGCCGACGCCGAGGACAGAGGCTCCGAGCTGCAGATCTGAACCTGTACCGCCGGCCCGTTGTGGATGCTCAGCTCGTTCTCTCCGATGGCGATGACCACGGCGTCGACCCCACCAGGCGCAGTGGCCACTGAGGAGCCCAGCAGGCCCAGGGGCTCGTTCTCATTTTCAAATATCGGGTAGGAGCAGTCCACCTCCCCGGCATGCTTCCAAGCGTGCGTCTTCAACATTCGCTGCTGCCCGCACGTGTAGCTACAGAACAGGCACCGGTACATGCCGTACTGCTCGTAGGCGTACCACTTCCTCCTCCCCCTGTCCTTCTCGGAAGCGGCGGGGACGGCGTGCGCCTGTGGAGCACGCAGGCTGACGGGGAGGTCGGGGGTGCCTTCCTGCTTCCGCTCGGCGGGCCTCAGGCACACAGCGCCGGAGGGGCCCACGCAGGGCTCGGCTCTGGGCGGAACCGGGCCGTTGGCGAAGTTTTCGTGGTCATTCACCACGTGGGCTTCCAGCTCCTCTTGGCTTTTGGAGGTGACGTGGCACTCGGAGCACATCAGGATCACTTCGTTCTGCTGGCCGTGCTGCTTGATGTGGTCCTTGAGCACAGAGAAAGACGGGGACAGGAACTTGCACAGGCTGCACTGGTATGACATAGCTTTCCCGTCGTTCTGGGCGAGAGGGTCCGGGCTGGAAGGCATCTGCGCCGGCTCGGCCCTTCGGTCAGCCACAGGGGGCGGGGCTCCTTTGGCTGGGATCTCCCCGAGCTCCTGGGCTTCCGGAGAGCTCGCCCCAGCACTTGGACGTGAGCGCTTCTTCCCAATCAAAAGGCATTTTTGTGACTTTTCATGTTCCACTATCTTGCTCAACTTCTGGATAACATGGATTAATGGATCTGTTTTAGCTGAACTCTGTCCATCAATTTCCAGTGAAGAACTGATGACAGTGTCGGCCGTCAATATAGCTTCCTGTTCCCCAATGTCTGGCACCAACATGGCGACGCTGCTGCTCACTTCCATATCTAGAAAGGGGGACAGACCACAGAGAGATGCCAGGTCACAACTGATTGAACACACACAGCCATTCCCAGGGCCGAACCACCTTAACTTACTATGAAATACCATCCCTAGAGTCGATACATGACTGATGCAACTTTTTACACCAAATATAATTGTAGTTTTTCTTCTCTGCAAGCCTTTGGGATTGTGAAAACATAGAATTACCTTATCGGGAAGGACAGTGAACTCTGAGAAGTACTATGCAACGAAACTAAAGAAAAGCAATCGTCCAGCAGTTCCTCCTTTTACTTCCTTAGTCTTCCCAAAGATAAACCACAAACACGCTGTGGGTTTTCCAGAGCTCATATTAGTGGTCAGCTATCACCCATGTGTGTTACTTTCTTTCCCCTGAAAGGAAAGGGCCATTGAAGACGGAAGCAATTGACATCCTAGTTGTCCACATACGCACGGGTCCTTAGGAAGAGATGCGTCTGGCCGAGGAAGTCACTCGATAGGAAACACAATCTCTTCCCCGCCTAATCTCAAACCCTGCTTCCTGACAGCACCCACTCATTTCAAACGCTCCCTTTGGCCCAAAGTGAGATGATTTGTTGACTTGGATCTCATTTTTTAGGTTTAGGCTTTTCTTTTTTTCCAGCAACAAGTTTTATTCTCCCACATTTCAGTGAGTTTTGGAATCACACATTCAATAAACTCCAGCAAAAGTTTAGTGGCCCCAGCTATAGACCAAAGACCATACCCTGTCACAGGCTCTGAACTCTTATTTCAGGAGCTGAATCGGGGCCCCTGCTAGGACTGTACCCAAACTCCCGCCAGACCCCCCTGTGCTCAGATGGCTCAGCAGGGTCTCCCCTACCCACTCACACCCACTCACAGCAGTCAGGGTGCTCTGGACTTCCTGCTCTCAGGCACAATAGCTCTCCTCTGGGGCCACATCAGGCTTCTCTAGTGCCCTTCGCCCCCACCCCCTTCCCGACCAACCACTCTCACAACCAGGATATGCGCTCCAGCTGTGACAACAGGGACGACCACCCAGCAATCCGGGGCCTGTGGCCCTGTAGCCACTCCCCGCTGAACAACCCGAGAGTACTACCTCCCAAAAGACAACTAGACTGCGGATTCTGGGTTGCTGACCTTCAAGACCGTGACTGGCTGGGCTGCCACTGTCCAGAGTCAGAGTATCTTTCATACACATATTACCAGCCCAGGAAGGATCAAAACTCAAAGTATGGTGTCTACCAAACATACAGCTTTTGCACCATCATGAAGTAGAAAAACCCTGTCTGAGGACCCTCTGTGTTCCCTTACAAAGGCCTTTCTCAGGCAGAGAGAACGAGTGTCCGAAGTCTTCACACTCAGCCTCAGTCACTAAGAGGGACCAGTGATTGCGAGAACACTCTGTGACTTTCTGAGTCACTCTGCTGCCTGTGAATTCCACGTTTAGGTCAAGGGAGCTGTGGTGCTCTCAGGCTTTATTTGTATTTATTTGTTCAGTTAAATACAAACTAATGACAGGAACCTGGCACATTCAATTTCCTGCAGAGACGTGGGGCTCTACTGCAGACGTAAGGCCTCCTTCCCGGGAAATGTGACCTCAGCAAGCTGACTGATCGCCTGGAGGCTAGCTTTGCGCCCACAGGCTGTTCCTCTTCACTCCTTGACATGACAGGAGGGGGGCAGAGCATGCCAACTGCTCCCTGTGCAATGACGAGGAGGAGGAGTTATCTCACCACAAGCAAAACACATTACAAAACAACCTGACCAGGGACTCACGTGGAGAGCCGGGTGCTCAGGGAAACCTGTGGCAGGTGCCCCGCCACCCTGGGCATTTACGTGTCTCACTGCAGAGGCTGCACATGTTGGGGCTTAAGTACAGAAATGGCATCTCTAAAGACAGACAGGATAACATCAAATACCTGAAAAACCAGTTTGGGGACACTCGAAAAAATCAATGCAAAAGTCAAGTCTCAGTAGAACAAAGTCTCTGCTAATCAGATTAGATAACAGCTCGTAATAAAGTCTACAGAAGAGTTAAGTTGACCGTAAGGCCAACTCCAAATTTTCAGAGTTCGCTGAGGCCACCAATGTGCATAAGTATATGGGACTGCATGTCAAGTGAAGTAAAATTTATTTGAATAATAAGGGATGAAAATAAGGACAACAAAGATAATCCTAGTGGTTTAACAGCAACATGGACTGTGCTAATCTGCATCCTATGCACGGTCTCCAGGAGATCGATGTGAAAGCAGCTATGGAAAACATCACCCTGGTGGGAGAGAGGGTTCAAGGAGACTGGCAGGTTTTGTGATTGGAGAGGTGAGCAGGCAGGGGCTCATTATACTATTCTACTTGTGTTGTGCTTAAATGTTTTTTTTTTTTTTTTAAATGTTTAATATAGAAAGTTATAGAAAACATTCATATGTGCAAGGCACCAAGCAAAGTACCAGGAAGAATGGAAAAAAAATTTAAATGTACAGTTCTCACAGTCTAAAACTGAGTTGGGAGAATAAGACAAACCTGGTTAGAAATTTAAGAAAATTAGCAGCTTTTAAACAATGCGACAGTACACAAGGTAAAATCGTCAGAAACAGCCAATGACTAAACCCTAACAGACAGGAAGCGCTCCTTCGGTCTAGAGAGGTAAGCAAAGGCTCTGTGAAGAGTAAGATACACACTCAATTCCAAACGATGTCACTGTCAGCCCCCAGGCCTGTCCCAGGAGGGAGCCCATCACTGGACCCCTGTCCCTGGTTGCTGGGGGGAGGGGGGTCAATGCTGGGGGAGTTATGTCAACGGGGAGCCACACCAGGAGGTCAGGAGGCAGGGAGTAACATCAAGATCCTCATTCCCTGGCCTCCTCCCTCCAGGTGACCTTGAACGGGCTGGTCCCTTCAGGCAGGCTGCTCTCCAGGACACTCCTGGTCCTAGCCCCGCTCCCTGCTCCTGACCTGCTCCAGATCACCGTGCTATCCCGGGGGGTGCCTACCCAAGCCCCTCACCCAGACTATGAGCACCTTTTAAATACCTCCTCCTTGAATTATCCAACGTTGAGGGTGCCACTCGCTTTCTTGGGACTCTGTTGACAAAGGGTGAGACTGACGACAGCAGCCACAACTGTGGCACGGCACTAGAATAAGGAGCCCCTACCCGCCCACCTCTTCTATCCTGCCCCTGGTACTATTAATCTCTTTTTGGCAGATGAGGAATCTGGGAGCACAGATATAAAGTAATAATGGTTTAAGAACTGGAACCCAAGGCTACATGATTCCAAATCTATCCTTTATCAATACACTGACTTCCCTTTATTGTTCAGTGAGAACAAAGTTTGTAACTCGTGATATTGAAGAGAAACTGCCTCTCACTGCTACTTTGTATCAACCTGTAAGTCTGTTTGATCTTTGGGAGGGTCCAGCGATGTTACAAATAAGGAAATAGTAGTGCCCTTTAAGTGGCTTAAAGGTTACAGGGCTGCTAAGTGGCAGCGCCAGTGTTTTCTAAATCAGTTCCCGAAATGAACAGTCCCTTGGATCCATCTTCAACATCCAGCCGTGGCCAAGAAGGAAAGCAGGCAGCATCAAACATTTCTCTCACTCGGAGAAACAAAGGAGTGATTTTTTTGGGTAGTGAGACCTTTCTCAATATTCTATGGGGGGGGGGGGGGGGGAAGGGACCCAATTATGGGATGCACATTTATGTACTTTATCTAATCAGTAGAGTTCAGGACTTTGTATAAGTTATAACAAAAAACCTCTGGAAACTTCTCCCATTTCAGTATATTTTATGCGTTAGCTCTGAATTTATCTAATTGACTCCAAATACTATTGCTTTTGCTGATTCCACTTTCTCATGAATAAGGAACAAAGATCTGCCACTTTTGTTTTTTTTCTTCTTTTTAAATCTTAACTGAAAACAATCTAATAACGGTGATTCTGCAAATGTCAAACACTTCCACGAGCCAGGCGGGCTGGAGGGCAGGCAGCACCACAGACGAGGAGCCAGGTCGGGACCCGGACCCAGCTCCCCGGGAACACAGGGCCAGGCGCGGTGTCACGATCTAGAAAGAACCTGCCAGTCCAAAGGGTGCTTATTCGGTTCACCTGGATGCACCTCACGGCGGAGGTCACTGCCGGGCAGACAGTGTCTGCTCTACCGGGGAAGGGAACGCTAAGTGGGCTCCCCGGGAAGGGAGAGGAGGGGCCGGGGTCCCCCTGCCATCGGGGCTGACGCGCGGGGCCCCGTGGGGAACACGGAGAAAGTGCGCGGGAGGCGGCCGCCCCAGGCCGCCTGGAGCAGGGATGCGGGCCGAAGGCCGAGCGCAGCCCCGCCGGCCCGGAGGCGGCTTCCGGCGCGGAGGCAGCCCGGCGGGCCCGCCACTCAGCCGCCCGAGCCGCTCCCCGGGCGCCCCCGTCTCTCTCCCCGCACGGCCGGTGGGGCTGGGGCTGGGGCGGCGGGGCTGCTTCTGCGCCTGCAGTGCTGCCGGGCCGGCGGCGGGGCGCGGAGCGGGGCCGCCCGCGGGCCTCGTCGCGGGCGCACGGGGCCGCAGGGGGGGCGGCGGCGAGGCCCGCGGGGAGGCGCACATGGCCCGCGGCGGGCGCCCGCAGCGGCGAGGGGCGGCCTCGGGACGCGGTACCTGCGGTCGGGCGGCGGCTGCTGCTCCGCGGGCCTCGTGGGGCCGGCCGGGCGCCCCCCAGTGCCCTCGCCCTCGTCCTCTTCCCGCCGCGTTCCCAGCTCGGCGCCTTCTTTCCCCCGCTTTTCCGCTCCTCACCGGCGATCCAAGATGGCGGCGCAGGACCGGTCACGTGAGACGCGGGCGGTCAGGTGACAGAGGGCCGAGGCGAAGGGGCGGGGCGGTCGGCAGGCCACGCCCACAGCAGCCTCGCGAGGGCGAGCTGGGCGGGCACGGGGGGCGGGGTGACGCGCAGGCCACGCCCACAGGCTCTCGGGGGCGGGGCGTGGGGAGGGCCGGGCGGGGATGGGCTCCGGAGGCCTCTGAGCTGCTCGGGGTCGTCCGGGCCGGGTGCGCGCGTCCCCTGCGGCTTCTCACGCTGCAGCGCCCGTGCGCCAGGCCCCTTGCAGCCTGTGGGTCTGGTGCAGCTGTTGGCTGGGCTGCACCTGAGTGGCTGGTCCCGCAGAGAGAGGTCCCGCTGGGCGCCCGGCTCAGCGTGCGGGAGCGGGGAGCTGGGCCGGGCTGTGCGGGGAAATATATTTTATTGATTTTTTACAGAAAGGAAGGGAGAGAGATAGAGAGCTAGAAATGTTGTTGAGAGAGAAACATCGACCAACTGCCTCTTGCATACCCGCTACTGGAGATGTGCCCGCAGCCAAGGTCCATGCCCTTGACCGGAATCCAACCCAGGACCCTTCAGTCCGCAGGCGGATGCTCTATCCACTGAGCCAAACTAGTTCCAGCTGATGTGGGTCTTGCTTAATGTTCAGCTCAGCCCCTCCGGGTCTGAGAGGCTGGCGGGTGTGGGAGAGGCTGGCGGGGTGCTCACAGTCACGGCAGCAAGAGCAGCTCTGCCATCCGGGCGGGGACGGAGCTCGGTACCTGCTCCCTTAATCCCTGGGATGCTGACTGCCTGGTACCCAGGACCTGGGAGCGAGGACCACAGCCTGTGATGGTGACACCTAGTGGCCCACCTGGGATGTGCGGTGAGGCCACAGCGGGCAGGCCCGGGGGAAAGACTGCCCAGGCCCATGACAGTGACCCAGGCCCAGCCCCTGGATCCGGCCGAAAGTCTGGTGTCTGGTAGCATCTCTGAATTCATATTGGTTTATGGCTGGGCTCCAGGAAAGGCACCCCATGGCCGGGAGTGGGGCTGCAGAGGGGCTGTGGGGGGACATGGGGCCCCCTGGGGTCGGCCCGTGCCTCAGACGGACGGTGTGTGGTTCTGGGAGGCCTGGCCGGGCTGCGGTGGGGCCAGAGGCCCCGCCAGGCTGTGTCTGCTCCCGCCCAGGCCGTGGCGTGGTGGATGCTCAGCCTCTCCTTCGCCCACCACGGGCTGCCTCGGGGGCCGCGGGGGGCCGGCGCCTCGCTGAGGTGGGTGGCCGCTCTCTGCCGCGTCCATGTCCAAAAGCCTGTTGACAGGTGGTATCACCTGCCTGGAAGGCGAGGGGAGCCGATGATGGGATGTGAACGTCTTCCCGCAGCGGCTGCCTCCCGAACGCGCTGCCTCTGAGGATGGGAGGCGGGAGGGAGGAAGTGACAGCAAGAAGGGGCCAGCAATGAGACAGGCGCCAGGAGCAGAAATAAGAGCAGAAGTCACTGCTCGTCAGACGGCGAGGGGCAATCCCGTGACCTAAAAGGTGGTGTTACGGTGACAGCTCCTCCTGGGGATAGACTGCAGGTGCCCTGGTGTCTTGCTGCTGGCTGGGGGGAGAGCCACTTCCTGCTTCCCTCCGGGCAGCCACGGGCAGTGAAAGGCCCCAAGAGGCCCCCGCTCAGAGCCCCCGCCCCCCGACTGGAGCTCCGAGCAGACACGGGTTAGGACATGACCTTCCAGGCATTTCTTCCTTAAAAAAAAAATGCATTTTTTATTGATTTCTGAGATGAAGGGAGAGGGAGAGAGAGAAACATCAATGATGAGAGAGTCACGGATCAGCTGCCTCCTGCGCCCCCCCCCCCCCCCCCTGCTGGGGATCCAGCCCATATGCCCCAACCGGGAATCGAACCGTGACCTCCTGGTTCATAGGTCACTGCTCAGCCATAGAGCCACGCCGGCTGGCCAGCAGAAAAGGGGCTTTGGTCAGCAAGGGCTGCTCACTGCCCTGCACGCTGCGAGGTGGTGTATGGGCTGCAGGTTCCCACCGCGCGGCTTGGGCTGCACTACCTCATCTCATCCCCTCCCCTCCCCTCCCCTCCCCTCCCCTCCCTTTCCTTCCCCTCTCCTCTCCTCTCCTCTCCCCTCCATTCCCCTTCCTGCTCCACCCATTTCCCTCTCTTCTCCTCTCCTCTCCCCTCCTTGTCTCACCCCTTTCCTTTCTCCTCTCCCCTTCCTACCTCTTCTCTCCTCTTCCCTCCCTTCCCTACTTCTCCCCTCCCCTCTCCTCTCGGAGTTGGAAGCCAGAGCAGGCTCAGAAGCCCAGGAGCAGTGGGATTCTCAGGTGGTGAGGGCGTTGTGGGTGAACGGAGGAT